ATACAAAATTTATGTTTTATTAAAAAATTAATTAAAATTGAGAGAGAATGGTATGATGTCTAGTAGATCGAAATAGAAAGAGAAAAAGAAGGGGGAAACTTTGTTTTTTTAAAATGCATTAAAATAATAATTCCAAAAAAAGTAAAAGATTACAAATTATTATAATTATAATATATTATAGTCTATCCAATAGTTCTTCAAGATTAATTACATTAAATTAAATAATTATTATTATTACAAGTAAACTTTAAATTATACAAATAGTAGTCTTATCATCAAAATGCATAACCTATATGCTTCTTAATTATTAAAAACCGTCCTTAATTATATTAACGAGTTTTCCACTAAAATATCCTGTTTTAAAAAATTACTCTTTATTATTCCATTAAAATATCACACATCAAAAAATTATCCCATACTTGAAATTGTTTCACTTCTAGCAAAAATGTATTTATTGGCTCACACCCCTAGGGAGAAAATCCTCTTCACACAAATTATTATGCTATTTATGCAAATATTATTGTTCACGGGGACATAAATGTAAAACTGCGAAGTTTCCTTTTACCTGTGGTAAAAAGAATCCGACTATATTTTTTTCTTCGATGTAAACGTTACGTATCATTTTTGAAAATATTAATGATAATAATGATAATAATAACAGATACCATCATAGTTGGCAAGGTTTTCTTTTCTGATCTGGTTACACTGCCGGAAAAGCCTGTAATGGCCTTGAATCGTGGGCCCACTTTCAGGGCCCATTCTAAACATCCAGAACACCGTACTTACAGAAATACCCTCGGAGACAGTTTTTGATCCCCTCTCTCAGGGGATCGCAGCGGCGAAAAAAGAAAAAAATTCTCGCGGAACTATCCATCGAAGAAGGGAAGCGAATCGCGATGGCGTCAGCGGGATCGATGGCGGCGGCACCGTTCTGGAGAGCCGCGGGGATGACGTACATAACCTACTCCAACATCTGCGCTTCTCTCGTCCGCTCGTGCCTCAAGGAGCCCTACAGGGCCGAGTCCGCGTCCAGAGAAAAGGTCCATTTCTCAGTTTCCAAATGGGCCGGCGGGAAGCCCGAGAAGCCGAGTAAGTCTAATCTCTTCTCCTGTTTCCCCGCTCTCTAGGGTTTCATGTTTTGCCTTGATCTGTGATGGCCGCGACCCGATCTATTTCTAGGGTTTTTTTTACCATCATTCTTCTCTAGATAGATGAATTTTGTGGCTGATTGGTTTCGGATTGTGAGATTTGATGGTAGATGGATGGCGAGGGAAGAGCGAAGGTCGTTGATCCTTTTGTGGATCATCCGTCCTTTTGTTTTTTTTTTATTTCTTCACTGATCGCGTGAAAAGCATAATTTCATTATGGAAAAGCTTTGCATAACGAGTAGGTCCGCTGACACGGCGCAACTTTGTAGCCGCTTTTTGAGAACTTTCGTGCGCTCAATATGTTGTATGGGGAGTTCCTTTTTTTTTTTTTGCTTATTAATCAAAGATGGAGAAAAAACTTATGAACGATGCTACATTCTGAATAGGCATTAATGTGTGCCTTTTCTGTGCCCACGTGGCGCCATTATCCGATGGTTAGAGCATCTCCAACCCAAAAATCCAAAATGGTGTAGTTTTTACACCAAGTTGGTGTAGATTTTACACCAAATCACTATTTCATCTCCAACCCATTACACCAAACGTTACACCAAAAAGAATATTCATTTTATTATTCTTATCTTTTAACATTTTTATCTATTTAAAATATTTAACAAATTATATAATTATGTAATACATTATATATAATTAATTATAATAATATGTTTTATGAATAAAATAAAAATATAAAAATTAGATGCTAAATCAAATTAAAATATTACTTTCATAAATTCAACTAAAGATTTACATTTAACATCACATATAATTAGTTATTAGTTATAATTATATATTTAACTAATTTTTTTATGCCCTAATGTTTATGTTGTATTTTTTTTATCTAAATGGTGTAGTTTTTCTTATTTCTTCATTTGGTTCTAGTATTATGAAATTTTAAGTGTTTGAATTAAATTATCTATTTTTTTCATTGATGAATTTTTTTAATAATTATTTTATACTCTAATTTCATTATAATAGTTAATATAAAATAATATATATTATTAATACATTTCATTATAATAGTTAATATAAAATAATATATATTATTAATACAAATATAAATAACAAAAGAAAAAATTTTGTTTCTGTATTTCTTCTCATAAGACCTTCCATAAAAAGTTTTCACAAAAAAAATTAATTGCGCCAATGCTACACTGTTGCACCATTTCTGGCGCAACACTGTAGCATCCCGCTATTTTAGCGGGATGTTTGGCGCTCCATTGGAGCGCCAAAACACTCCAAAATGGAGTTTTGGCGCTCCATTGGAGACGCCCTTATGTATTCTCCGGCTACCCTCAAACCAATAAAATCCTAAGCCGGCATGCTCGTATCACGTTTTCCACGTTGTGACGACTATAATTCTTTTTTACCAGTTTGGTAGAAAATTGTTCCTTGTATCCATGGGGGGGTTGTTCACCGGATGAAGCTCGAGGAGAAAGCGAGAGGCCAGGAGAATCTAGATATCTCTAGAGGCTCGTGTCGTGTGTGTGTGTGTGTGTGTGTGTGTGTGTGTGGATAGATAGATAGATAGATAGATAGAAAGGGAGAGGGAGACGATCTAGGTTATGTTTGTAACTTTCAGTGTCCGTTTCATTTTATTATAAGAGAAGTGGAAAGAGTTATAATTCTTCGTTTGACTGTTACTCTCTTGGAATGAATTAGAAGAGGTCTGTTTGATTTTTCTTAAGGACTTGTTTTGGTTGGTTGATATTAGGAGCACGTTTGTCTTCATTTTGTTGTTTATTCAATTTGTAAGGCCTTAAAAAGGGTTGAGATTATGAATAAGCAGGGTGTACGAAAGTGATTTGAATTGCCTGTAATTGGACTTAGGTCTCTTGTTATCTTTTCCCTATTATTCTCCTATCTTCTTTTTTCTACTGTTTACTTAATGTTCCTCAAGCTGGACACAAAAGTGAAGCAACTGAATTCCCTATTTTCATCCATTTATATTAAGTTTTCTCTGTGTCATCTAGTAAACTCAGATTATGTGTGTTGAGACCGGGGAACCGGGAATGAGGATATGTTGTTGAGGTCCAGTATAGTTGGATCGATTAGAAATTTGGAGCTACTTTGCTGCACTGTGCCAATCTCCGTCTCTGGATCATGGAAGGGTCTCTTTGAAGAGTCCCTATTTCATAGTTTACGTATAAGTGCAGGATAGTGCAAGCATAAATGCATGATACTAAAATTATGCTTTTTAGGGCATGCACCGGAAAGGAGAATTTACAATGTATTAAGATCCATTATGATTAAAAATCTTAAACAGTAGTTTGTTTTTCAAATCCAAAGGTTAAATGTATCAGGGAGCCGTGTTGGGAAAAATTTATAGTTGGGGTTTATTGTAAGGAAAGTACCTAATGTAAACCAGATCTGGAAAAAGAAAAGGTGCTGAAATGTATAGTAACGTAGTTAAAAAAAGTGTTGAAATGTATAGTAACATAATTATTTGCTCCTTGGAGTAATACTAAATACCGATACTCAACCCTTCCACTGGCACCAGCATAATGAGACAGAGAGTGTGTGAACCTGGGTATTACAGTATTACTATTCCAAAGTTGACTACGACATGCGTTCTTGGGTTTGTATGTTATGCCATTTTAGTTCCAAGGGGGGTAGCATAATGCAGATGAACATATAAAGAACTTAGTGAGCTGCATTTGGAATCTTTTTCAGGAAGGTGCAGTGATATCAAATGACAGATATGCTCATATAAAGAATCTAGAGAGCCACATTATGAGTCTTTTACTGGGAAGGGGCTGTGGTGTTGGATGGCAGGCTCAAGTGTCAGTTTCATAGACACTTGTGGCATGTCATATGCATATAATTTGTAGAAGCTAACATACTTTCTGATTTTAACTTAATCCTATAGTTGGACTATATATCTGCAGCAAATTTTGTATGAAGGCGCTATGTAAGTTTGAGCTTCTGGCCATTTGAAAAGCATGTATGTTCAGTAATCAGTACTCAAAGGAGGCCTTTCTTCTCCTTGGTTCTGAAATTCTTATGTTTCTTTTTACTCCAAAAAAGTATCAACCTTATGTGCAAATTAGTCAATTGCTTCATCTTTTTAGACATCAACTTAAAACAGAACCTACAATTAAATGAGGTTCATGCTTCATTCTAAAATTTTTTATTTTGTAAAAAAAAAAAAAAATCAGTTGATCACCAAATGGTTGTTTTGTCTTCATGATGTTGTTTTTAGATGTATGGGGTCTATTGATCTCTTGCTGGTTACCTTTTACTGATTTAAAGTTTGGTTGAAATCCTCGTTTTTTAACTCCTAAGTACAAGTATCTGACATCCTCAACTTATGCTGTATATTATGGAACTTTTAAAATACATCTTGACACCTGTTGCATGATAGCAATATTAATTCATGTAATGAGAATAAACATTTATGAGACCAGTTTTTGATGTAAACATTGATCTCCTCTTTCAAAACATTTTTCATTTCGGAATATGCTGCTTTCAGATCATATGTTTATAAAGAAATTCAAAATCAAGTTGTTATCTGCCTATATGCACAACAGCTTTGCACCTTCAGTTCTGTTCTTAAACATGGGACTTTTTAGTCTCCTCTGACAAATTCTACTCTATGATATTCCAGGAATCAGACATGTTCATTTTTTAAGTCAGGATATTAGAAATTTACTGAAATGAGTACACCTGTTCCACCTTACCATACCTACAGGAAGTTGTTCCCTATGGTTCTTGGTTTGCTGGCAAATTAAACATATATTTGTTCCCATATACATCTATATGGCAGGCTGACACCATGCTCAATGACATGATAATGGTCAAAAGAATTTCCCTTGAAAAAGGAAATAGGAAGTGTCTTGCACATCTTCAAGTCTTTATGGGGAACTAGTATATTACATAGATTTGTGTGTTCGCTGACCTTATATATCGCGGGCGTCTTCCATTTTGGAAATCTTTCAAATAATTTACAGAACTTCTTATTGAATTTTTGAAATCTAAGCTTGAAAACGTGTGGTAGAACCATCCCCCAAATTGACTTCAGTTAGTGAACCTTTCTTCGCAATATACAGTCACTTATTTCGGGTGAACTCCACTTATTAGTTGTAAACTGGAAGAAAGAGAAGAACTTTTGAAAGAAGAATAACAAGGAAAGGACTACCACAAACATCCGAGAGACTAGATGATGCAAAGAAATTTGAGATGGAGAGGAGAGTCTGATTTCGACTAGCAAAAATCTTCACGCACCAATAAAATGATTGTGGTTAATATATTCATATTTATAAGTGGAATGTTTTGGCGAGAAATTTGAGATGTATGTGGAATTTTACCAAAACGAACTAAAAAAGGATTGCTGTAGATGGACCATCTACTTGGTCAGTTGCATCTTGGAATGATTGATAATTATGTATGGTTTTCTTAACCCTTAGTTACTGGGTTACTTTGGCTATTGATCCAGGAAAACCACACACTTAATAAAAGAGATAGGACCATTCAAATTTACCATGGTATAGATTAGATCGTCTGATGCTAGTGGTTAGCCAGTCAGTTTTTCGAAAAACATAAGGTTGCTTTGTTATCGTCAGTCGGTGCCTAGAGCATAGAGCCTAGAATCATGCAGGCAGATGTCTGCCTTGTTTTTATTTTTATAACACTATTAATAGTACATAATTTTAGGAGTTGCCTCACCATGTTCTGAAGAATAGTGAAGGTAACACAAGCTAGAATTTTGATGGCATCCTTCCTTTCCATGACATGCCTTTAGCTCAGATTGTGTGTGGATCTGATGGGAGGTTGACCATTTATAATCTGCAGATTTAATGAAGCATCCTTTCTAGATAACTTTTACAACTGACAAGGTGTTGCTTTAGAATTAAAAGTTACAGAATGTTAATTTCAGTTAATAATTGCTTTCGCAACTATTTGCTGCAGGCTAAAACCTATATAATCAGCTTGGTTCACCATCAAAAACATGCCGAAATTTCTAGCAATAAGCAGCAGAAAATTGATGAGTTGCATGAAAAGGTGACCAGAGCTTGGCGCCAAATTAGTTGTTTAATTAACCACTGGAAAACGTGGAACATACTATCATCTCTTTAAATGATGACTTTTCATATTTTTGTGGGAAGACCTTACTCTAATTAGTTTATTTCCCTAATATTATGCATTTTCCTGCATCTGTTACTTATTTCTTTAAGTAATATAAACTAGTGCATTCTGATAATATATTGGTTTTTTTAACCAGCCATCCGTACAGACTCCCCTGATGAATGAGCTTCATTGAAGATCTTCAGTGTCCTTTGTTAGTCATGCGGAGATTTAATTTATTGTCTGCTGCTTTTCATTCGCGGGTGAGACAGTTTTGGGCATTTGTTCATGCCATAATAAATATTTACAATGTTGGTGTAAACCATCTCCATTTGATATTGTGTTAGTGGGAAGCTCAGAGGATTCCTAAACTTGCTTATCTGTTTATATTACGATGATGTTTACATCAAACAGTAGTTCTTGAGCTTCAACTTGAGTATGAAATTGGCAGGTTATTTTCTGATTCACAGATGCAGGTTTTTTTAGGCCTTATATTTTTAATATGCTTACCACGTGCTTGCCAGTCTGCATTTTGAATTGGGTTGGCTTCTTCTGTTCTCGTCACTTTGAAGCTTAAAATAGGTTCTGTTACGCTACTTTCATGATTGCTAGTGTTTTGTTTTTATAATGTGGGTTTTTTGCAGCATAATAAAATTTTTTGTGTGCAAATTATTGTAGAGAAGCTGCATTGCAGTCAAATTCAAATTATTTTGTACTGGGTTGAACTATGGATACGGTTTTACTTGTGTAAATTCAAAAGTAGTAATTGTAACAATTGGAGTTGTTTTCATTATGGGTTGGACCTTAAAGTTTCGAAATGTTTGTATTTTCTCTATGCTTGTAAACAGCAGCCGAGAAAATCTGGTCGAGGGCGCATCAGTATTTGAGTATATAGCTGATTGCTAATGTGAATTTAGCAGTATCAAGGCAAGGTACTGACCTGAAATATCAGCTGCAATAATAGTAACTTGCTGGAAGAAAGTAAGGATTTACTTTTATCAGTTTTTTGTAACATTTCTGGGTGTAGAACTGGAATATGTGCCTTTCATTTATACTGATTTCCCCTCTTTGAATTGATCGTCAAGGCGTCAAATGTGGAACAGCGTCAGGTAAGGTTTGTTCTCTTCGCTCATGGACAAGCTTCATTCTCAGCTCCATTGATGGTTATTTTTATGTAAAAAAGATGGATTAGCGTAATATTTCTTGTGTTGGTAGTGGGGCTGTTTAATTTTAACATTTCAGACTGTTATTAAGGATTTGATATTTTTCGGTAGGTTTTAATTGCCCACAATTTCTTCATACTCTACTATCACAGACCCATGCTTTGGACTCCTTAGGATGTTAGTAGAAAGATGATGCAATTTCCTCTTGCAAATTTGTGCTTCATTTCTTATTATTATTATTCGATTTGATTAACCTGTAGATTTTGTGCCAGAATAGTATATGCAATTTGCCAATTTGAAAGGCTTTATCTGTCCTCCCAATGTTATGGTAATTTTTCTGTTAGTAGTATGCATTTTAGTTGGAAGACAATACTGTTTTTGTTGGTTGTTTCAAAATCCTGAAGATGGGTCATATTCATGTTATCCACTATGTCTATATCAGTATTTTTAGGAGTAGATTACTAATTATGTTGAATACTTTATTTACATATTACTATCATTTCTATTTTCATCTTGCATCATTGGGGTCATTTTCTGTCTCTCATGCTTCAGACTTCAAATTATATTATCTGTCCATTGATTCCGAATATGACTAATTTTAAAAATTGAAACTTGCAGTCTAGTATGCGTTAACATGCTTTATTTGGTGCATCTGTAACATGATGTTGTCATTTCAAATAGACCCTCCTACTAAATTTGCCACGTAAGCTGAGGATTGAATGAGATTGAAGCGTAGATGGAGTGGTGTTCTCCACTTCGAAACGTGCATCAGATGATCAATCAACCAATCACTCAATGACAAAACCCTAACCCTAAAATCTCATCCTAACCCTGACGCCTACTTCGGTACACGGGAATGAGTGGGAATGAAATGTAATTCCTGTTGCGCGCCTATGCGGAAGCGTGTTCACACACCGAACGAATCTGTGATCACGGGAGAAGAGAACCAACCACACACGAGCACAATTCAATCCAAATACGACAAATCAAACCAAACACAGAGATATACGTGATTCGGTAATTTGCCTACGTCCACGGGGAGAGGATGAGAGATTCCACTAAATCAATGAGAGTACAAAAGGGTTACAAACTCACAAAATCACTCACACAACCCCTAAAACCAAATTTCTCAACTTGCTCACAATTTCTCCCTCTCAATATGCTCAGTACAATCTAAAATCTATGATTAGAAACCCTAGAAAATCATGTTTTAATTTATATCAAAACACAAACCCAATACGAACAGGAAATCAATACTCAGGCCTAGCCCGACTCGCGGTCGACCGCAGAGCCATATGCGATCGACCGGACAGAACGACAGAAAGCATAAATCCACTACAGGGTCTCGCGGTCGACCGTAAAAAGTCCAGAGACTTTTCCAGATCTCGTGCACGTTTGCGGTCGACCGCCGCACCACTCGCGGTCGACCGCTGGAAGTCCAAGTCGTTTTCCTATAAGCTCTTCAATTCCAACTTCTTATTCGTGTTTAAAAAACGTGATGTGTTTTTTGATACTAGAAATGTCATTCTCACTTTTTATCAATTCCTACTTAATGTGGGAATGACTATTCCGATGAGTGATCAAGGAGTTGATATTCTCATTTAAATGGGAATGGAAATTAAAAAAAAAAGTATTCGGATATACCATTCGTAAAGATATTCCCACTTAATCCTATCTCATTCCTATTCTCACTTAGCTCTATTCCGGCGTACCAAACGAGATAGTAAAAGACAGCAGAATATTCTTCTTCTTCTCTGGTCCTCGTCCCAAACCCTGACAGCATTGAGCCAGCGCAATCTCAAAGGCAAAAGGGCAGCCAGCCATATAACTTAATGACAATTTGTGTGTTGACAGCTTCACTGTGTATTTAAAAAAATATATTTATTCCTACGATTTTGCCATCATCATGATCCCTCTATGACTTCCCTTAACAAATAGAACTAGCTCCTCAACTAGCAAGCAGCAACTCCGCATTTTGAGCTGTCACGGTCCCTATTCCCCCTCTCTCTCACATGAAAAAGCTTCAGCCTGTCATGTATTTTGCTGCTAGATTTTGTTAAGGTGACCAAAGTTTCAGCTATAAAAATATACATTTCCTTAGGCTTTCTTTGAGTTCCACAACAGCAAGATTAATGGATAATGATGGCTTGATTGGGGGAGTATTTTATTTGGGTTTGGTCAGCATCAATCCCCAGATTGCTTGTCTCAGGGGAAAAAAAAAGTTAAAAGGCTAGAATTTTCATGCTCAGGGAGAGGGGCATTTTTATATATACTACAATTTTATTTCTTTCTTGCTTGTTCATTTATCATTCGAGAGGCTCATTTGTACATAAACACAGCGCATCTAACTTCTTTCATGGTAATCTTGAGGCATATCTTTCTATCAATAAAATTACTATTCAATATTTTCTTCGTGGATTCAGAGATCGTTCTTCGTGGATTACAGAACACCCTTGATGGATTACGAGGTTATCACCTCCGCGCTGCGTCAACTGCAGATCGTTCTATTTTATTTGTTATTTCGTTGGTAAGCATAATTGAGGACAGAGACGGTCACGCGATTGGAGAAGCGCGGAGGAGAGTTGAGCCAGGAAGAAAAATTAAAAATAAAAAAGAAATAAATGCACGTTGTTAGATGCTAATAACTCTCAATTCATTTTGGTCATTTGTGGACGTTGTTGGTTCCGTGCTTGCACATGGGAAATACAACTAAATTGTGTCCAGATCCAGCCCCTTGCAAACCCCCCGGCCATTTGATTTATAAATAGTCAACAGGTTCAGTGGTAATTGTTAATTACCATGGGAAGAATCCAAGTTATAATAGGACATCACTGGATGGTCTATGTTATACATAATAATAATAATAATATTATTATTATTATCGATTTNGAGAAATGAATGAGGAGGGGGGCCCCCTGATTTGCATTGGGATCCTCTCTTCATTCATTTCTCTCTATCTCTCTCCTCTCTTATAGAGTGCCCAAGGACACTCTATAGAAAAACCGTATTATTATTATTATTTTGTATTTGCTTCTTAAGACATTACTAGAATTAGAACCCCGCACTGTGCGAGGTTCTGATAGCCACACACGGGGGAGTGAAGTTACCCCATTGCCCCTACTTTGTAGAGTTTGTGTCCCAGAACGCTCCATCACCGAATGTGCGACGCGTTTTTCGATATCAAATCAATTTTGAAGTTTTGGTACATCGTCAAAGATTAATTGCCTATTCATTTCTAGAGCTAGGTGTCCCCCTCCTATTGGATAATGAGTTGGTCATCATTAATGATGACCAACTCATTATCTAATAGGAGGGGGACACCTCACTGGTCCACCGTATTGCTCCCATATTTTGGGTGCCTGTAGCAAAGCTCTTTGCAAAAATATATTCTATTTTCTCTTCGAATTATTATATCTGGGTATGTCCGATTGAATTGTATATTATAATGGTATACATGCGGGCCTGGCTGTTTATATAACATCTTGGATTCATTGTGAATTATGCAGACAAAATTAAAAATTTTAAATGTGCTGATCTTGTGAATGAACTCGTCTGGATCCCGAGTACCATTTTGTGGTCTTCTAATTTTTCTAGTTATTTTTAGGGAATTGATCTCGTTCTTGACTATCAATTATTGACGTTTGGTGGCATTAATCATAAACATTAAAATAATTGTCGAAATTAAATTGGTATTTTATTTAAGCAGAGAAAGCCTCCCTCTGTATTTTATAATTTGAGCACATCCTTTTTGGTGAATTTTTAACCACGCGTCACATGATTGCCAATACACTCTTTATAATTATCCACAACTAATCTCCCAAAACTTTATTGTTAATAAAATTGATGTTGATTAAAATAGAGGAAAGCCCCCCATAATCTAATTACGCAAACTCTTTCCTTTGCAAATAATAACTCGTTAAATCTAAAGCAACCCATTTCTTCAAAAAAAAAATCTAAAGCAACCCACGGTATAGATAGGTGGAGAGAGAATTTAGTTGGCATGATTGCAGACCAGGTTTTGAGATAGTGGGGCCCAATTTGGGGAAGACTCGGTTTGGTGTTGACCCAAGAATGGGCCCACAACAACATTTTTTTTTTTGACCCAGATTGCAATATGGGCTATTAATTAACTCAAACCATGAATCGTTTTACGGTTTTTCTATAGAGTGCCCTTGGGCACTCTATAAGAGAGGAGAGAGATAGAGAGAAATGAATGAAGAGAGGATCCCAATGCAAATCAGGAGCCCCCCTCCTTATTCATTTCTTTCTATCTCTCTCCTCTCTTATAGAGTGCCCAAGGGCACTCTATAGAAAAACCGATCGTTTTAATATATTTGATTGCGGGAGGGGTCAGCTGTCCCTAAACCTTAGGACTTTATCCCTTCACATGGTGAAGGAGCCCCTAATCATCACAATACTCTGCGATTAGCTTTTGACCAAATTAATGGCTAATTGTTAGTTAGTTCATTGTTTTACTGAAATTGTTTCTGAGGAAAATTCAGAGAATTATCATGTAGAGAAAAATATCACAAGTGTTTCACTGAAGTATCATACAGGCAGAACGTAAAAATATAAGTTGATATGTCATATGTATGTGACATATTTTGGATATATGTTTCGGTCCCTGTTTACTAGAGAATGTTTTATATTTTTCAGCAATGCCATGTTAATTAGCTTGTTTCAGAAAGTATAATAGTTTATATATGATAATTCTTCCAATAAAAATCATAATCCCTGATAATTCATGGTAGTTTTTTCAATCTCCCCCTGTTGATTGCTGCTAGTTTACAATACAACAAGAAAAAACATATAAAAAAAGGCCAATAATAGTAATAAACAAAAGAATTAGTCCCTTCCACTTGAACAATTTAGAAAATACATGATCTATTTTAAAAAAAATAAACTCTTAACTGGCACCTGCACATTCTAGACCCTGCAGTGCCTCAATTATTAGCATCGCCATTAAGGGATAAAACATATTTGAACAAGCTTGTAGGCACACAAAGGAAAATATGTACCGCACCTAGGAAATGCATGCATCTCTTTTTCTATGTATAATAGTCATTTACTGTATTTTATTCCAAAAGAAGCTTCTACTTATTAAAGTGCGTCGGATCTCTTCGCGTTGTTTTTCTTGCATCGTGCATGCGTCCCATTATTAGTGGATTTGGAGTTGCTTCATCTACCTACCTGTAAAAAGATCACTTTTTCAATCATAATCATAATCGCTATCGTAGAAAACGGCGTCGAATTGTTCAAAATGTTGGAAAACTGAAAATTCAACAGCCACAAGTGTGGTGTGGCAGAAGCTGTTTGCTACAATTCGTTGTGATGGGTGTAGTGTGTGCCACACCCAGGTGTGACAAAAGCTGTCTGCTACAATTCTTTGTCAGGGGTGTAGTGCGTGCCACACCCGGGTGTGGCAGACGCGTTTTCTGATTCCCAACCCGTTTTGAATTGTGTTTTGTTATAAATAGAAACACGTCTTTCTAAAAATGTTTAGGAGAAGGGATAATCAGAGAAAATTGATTCTTTTGAGCACTTTGAGAGGGAGATTATTATGAGAGAGTGTGAGATCATTGGTTGGGTTATTTTGAGAGTTGTTTGAGATGTTGTAATCCGATGTTTCTCATCCATATAGTAAAATCTCCTCATCCTCTCCCTGTGGACGTAGGCAATTTGCCGAACCACGTAAATCTCTGTGTTTGTGTGATTTTGGCTGTTGGGAATTGCACTCGCGTTTGGTTCTTCTCTCATCGCTCGCCGACTCGTTTGGTTTGCGAGCACGCTTCCGCACGGCGCGCGACAGCTATAATTCAATGTATGCTTAATAGACGGTTACGATTGAACAATCAATATCTTACTTTCGAAATGGGACGATGGGATCTAAATTCTCATCACTGGTTAACATGTATTGGCTTGGAGACGTAAACCTTCTAAAGACCACTAAAACTATCATTAAGTTTTTTTTAAAACCGTTAAAAAGGAGCCAAAAGTGTAAAAAATAAATTTGAGTAAGTTATGAACCGTGCATTCGGGAAGATGGAAAGTACTTTCTTCCTTCTTTCTAAGTGGAGTTGGAAAGTGCTCTATTCATTACGTGTACGCATACATTAGCCCTCCGATTTGAAAAGACATAATTAGGGGTTAATTAATATATGATGGCTTTAGGGATTAAAGTTAAGTGATTGATGAGGATGCATCAAGCTTTGTTCTCTCTAATAAAAAAAGAGAGGACATGGTTGGTTTAGTTTCCTTTGTGCTTGTTTGTTTAAGGGAGAGAACATGCAAATGGGACCAAATCGGTATATAAATAGCTCTCTTGCTTTAAAAACTCTGAATCTCTTCAATTGTGAGGGAAATAATTATCACATTTAAGGTTAATTATCTAATCAGTTAACAAGTACTAGTTAAAGTTCTGGGTCAATTTGATATTACATTTTTTAGAGTGCTTTTTCAATAAGCACCCAATAATAGATTTTGGTGAAATTTTTTTAGCATTGAAATTGTTTCTAATTTTAAGGAGTTCCTTTTAGAAGCACCTTGAGGATGCTTTTTTTTTGAACTAGAAAAAACAGGGAGAGGTTCCCTGTTCATATATATATATATATATAAAAGAGCTGGAAATAATTATATGACATACCAAAAGTTGAGGATGATAAGAACCAATAGGTGATATGACCGGTGGGGAGCGGACCTTGTCGTCACCCACCAAGCCAGATCAAGAATGGTTCCTAACATCCCTGGAACCAAGACCATACAGAGTCTAATATCTAAAGGGAAGCTTATGAAGTTATTACAAAACTTAGAAACTACAGATAGAACATAGGCCCAAAAGAATGACAAAAGGGATGATGATGATATTAGAAGTTGTCACCAACACCATCGTCCTTGACTACTTTGGCTAGTTCCTTCAGTCCGAGACCGATCGCCACTTTGTGCAAATTGGCAGCTCTTCTGCTCGATGCTGCGATGCTGCTCCTGTCCAAAACAAAGTGAAACGGGCAATATGAGATACTATGATCAAGGGTGAAGAAGCTACACCATTAAAAATCTTATTGTTTCTGCTAAACCAAATTCTCCAGCAGCAACTAGGTAGTAAAACTCTCCATAGGCATCTGATTCGGTAGTCGATTGCTAAACCAAATTCTCCAGCAGCAACTAGGTAGTAAAACTCTCCATAGGCATCTGATTCGGTAGTCGATGGATTGATCAAGAGACCCAGAAAGAAGAGCGTAGTAAAACTCTCCATAGGCATCTGATTCGGTAGTCGATGGATTGATCAAGAGACCCAGAAAGAAGAGCAGACATATCTTGCGGCCAGATATCTCTGTGGGGAGCGGACCATATCTTGCGGCCAGGTGTATATTCCAGTAATTGTATTAATTTTAAATAAACTTGGAGGTGTACTTATTACACGTAATTTAATTTAATTGGGGGCTATGAGGAGTGGACCATTAAATTAAATTACATGTAATAAGCACACCTCCAAGTTTATTTAAAATTAATACAATTACTGAAATTTAATTTAATTAATTAATAAAATAATTATAAATTTAATATGCTAACTAATATTAGTTTAAAAATTAATTATTTAATTTAAAATAAATCTATATGCAACTCCAATTAAATTAGCATATGCAAAACCATAGCCCTTCATATAAAATAATTAACATGGTTTTAAACCGTACTACTTGCACTAAAATCTAGTATAATATCTAAGCTCTATGTAGCTATATAATTCTGCAACACTTACCTTGAATATAGCCTTATATACAACGTCAGTAAAATGAAGATGGGAAAAGATGTTGTTATCTTATAATTTGGAAAAAGAAAGAGAGATTTTGCAGATGATCATGAGATGATGAGAGAGGTGGTAAGCAATTAGGAATATACGTACTTGGATTTCTTGTTTAATTCTCATGATCTCATTTGTAGAACAGTGTAATCTTGAGATGACAAGTGAGGATGTGTGTACGCCACACATTATCTTCAGTTGAGTCTTGAAGAACATAAAAAAAATGTTAAGAATCTAATCCTTACTCAATATCCCTAATATACAACAGGAAATAATATATATTAGCTGACAGCCCATTTTACAAAATGAGCAGCCAGTTCTATGGCATGTGAGCTTGCTGCTAGTCATATCGGTTGGGCGGTTCACATGTAAGTGGCTTGACAGCCCATTTTACGAAATGGTTTGTCCGCTTATACCTAGTGCCCTCTATTTGTTCTCTTTTTTTAGACTGAGAAACATACATTGATGAAGAAAGGTCAATGATCTGTCCCCAACCTCTCTAGCACATTGAATGACCATCCGGAAAGAGGTTGCTTGGTGGACTATGTAAGATATGGTCCATTGAATCCAATGGTGCACAAGATGAAATATAAACAAACTCCACATTCTTAAGTTTTCTTATAGTTTGAAGGATATGAACTGACAACTCATTCGATAAAACTATACATTCTTTCATACAATCCGCATGTGGGTGAAATATTCTAAACCTCAAAGGGATAGTGAACTTTCCAAATGATCCTTACGGCTTCTGTAAGGTTTAGAATACTCTACATGTATGTGTGGAGGTCTACTGAGAGGGATGTGCCCTTGCAAAACATGTTGAAAGTAGGTTTCCACGCTCGGATTCGGTGGACCGTATTATGCACAGTCCACCAAAACAAAACTGTGCCACCGTTTGGAATCGAATTGCGCGGGGAAAAAGATAATTTTTAAAAACACCCTCGACGTCCTTATTTGCATCTAAACCCAAACAAAATGGAAAATAATTTCTTGTTAAAAAAAGGAAAAAAAAAAACTGTTTCGATTAAAGACACGCTCCCATTTCTCCCGCCGCACATGGGGCTTCGCCTTCTTGCACCTTATTTTTATCAAATTTTTTATTTCTCAACCCTTTTTTATCTCTCAATCTCTTTAAAATATTCAGTTCCTTCACATGGGGCGTCGTCGTCCCCCTACTTCAATGCTGGGATCTCTCCTTCCTCCCCTTGACTTCGATCTTTGGAAGCAAAAAGATCCCTTAGAAGATCGAAAGAAGAAATTTTTGAGGATTATTTAGCAAATTGCCACTCTTGGGGGATTCAGGTACTTGTGATTTGTTGATGTTTTGATTAAAGATTAGACTTTAAGTTGTCCCATGTTAAAAGTTGGGATTTTTACTAGTTTCCGAGTTGGGTTGAAACGTTGTTGCATTCTTTGGTTTTTTTTTTTTGGTGAGTTTTCTGCAAAGTTGAAATCTTCTCAGGGTTATTTAAATTTAATATGGATATGGGGGCGATTGTCTAATTATTTTAGCCGTTTTAGAGAAACAATTTGGGTGTAAATAGGGTTAACATTGGAATGCTTTTCTAGCATAAATTTATTATTAATTTTTTTTATAAAAAAGGTGGAATTTCCAATTAAAAAATCCCAGACTTTCTTTTCCATTTTAACTTAAATGTATAATAATAATAAACAACATATAGATATCTAGTTATATAGCCTATGAGTGGAATTTTTGTAGAAAAAATTCAAGGCACTACACCTTGTTGTTTCGTGGAATTGGGTCTTTCTAGGTATACTTTGATGTGACCATAAGCATCTTAAACTTTAGTGCATTTTATATGTTAGATTGGAAAGTCCCAATACAGTGGATCGTACTGGGGCTTGGTAGACACTTGTTCTAAAGTAGTTGTAATGCTAGAATGCTAGCTTTATATATATATATATTATATATATATATATAATATATATATATATATATATATATATATATATATATATATATATATATATATATAGATGGAGAAACTTGGTACCAAGCTACTTGGTAGTGAGGTGGCGGAATCTTGTCCATAATCACACCTTGAAGATAGAGCCTCAGTACACTTCACAATTCCAATGTAGATGTATGACCATCATTAATGATTGATCAACTCATTATGCAATAGGAGGGGGAAACATCTTTCTGTCCCCCTGTTGGTCCCATATTTTGGGTCCATTGTAGCAAAACTCTCTCTCTCTCTCTCCTCTCCTCTCTCTCTCTCATATATATATATATATATATATATATATATATATATATATATAATATATATATATATATATATATAGTGCCGCTTGCGCTCTTAACCTTTGTTACATTTAATACATCCTAATTAGCTGTTAGTGGCCCACCAAAACCTGATCAATGTTTCCCTTTGTAAAGAAGAATGGATTTTGAAGTACTTTTTTCCCCTGTATATATAGTGCTATTCAGTTTCTTAGGACCATAATCAAAAGTACACAGTTTGTATGGAAATACCTTGAAACTAAGAATCTTTTCTCTTTGTGTGTTTCTCAGTGGTTGCATTGTTGCGTTGGTGAGAGTTATGCAAGGATCATTTTTGTTCTAGCTTCCAATTCAATCTCATGCTGTTCCTAAGTGTCATTACTTTCATTTTGTATGAAGAATTTGATCATAATCCTTAATAATATTTGATGCAGGTTTCCTACGAGCCAGTGATTCTGAATTGAAAGCCTATTTATTGGTTTTAAAGGGGCAATTGGATTTTCGACTGGTGACGCTATTTACACAAGTCCCCAACTTTTCTGCTCCAAGTTTCACTCTGGGTTGACACTCTGATGCCTTCTTGAAGTGACAAGTTAGCTACATAAAAAATGGGAGGAGAGTTTCTTGGAGACTTAGACATGGAAGAAGTATTGCCTTCCATGTGGCCCGATGATCTTGCAAATGAAGATAGAAAGCAGTTCAACATAGATAAGCCCGGGTTTGAGAAAGATATGCTCGAAAATGTTACAATAACCGAAGATCCAACTATTGTAGATTTCAAGCGTCTTGTGGAGTTAACCAACTATAGTGAGAAGGGTTCCTCTCAATTGGCTTACCTTGTGAAGAACTGGGAGTATAAGCAGGCCAATGCTGTCCGCCTTCTTAATGAGGAACTCAACATTCTAAGCAAACAGAGACAAGAAGTTGAACGAAAAAAGTTAGATATTATCGAGGAGCATCGGTTTGTCGAAGAGAAGTATGATGAAAAGCACCCCGTGTCCATATTGGATGAAGTGTATGATATTTGGGATTCGCCTCCAAAGAGAAGGAATGATGTTCTTACTTATAATCAAAACATCGATATTGATGCAGAGTTTGATACTATCAAGTACTGGAAACAGCGAGCCATGCAATTGGATAATATGCTAGAGGCAAGCATCCAGCGGGAGCAAACTCTCATCCATAAGTTGGAGGATAGTATTAAGACTCTTGAAAAACAGTCATCACCAGTAGAAGAACTGTCTGATATTTTAAAAAGAGCTGATAACTTCTTACATTTCGTTCTTCAGAATGCACCAGTCGTTATTGGTCATCAGGTAAATCTCGTCCCTTATTTGAGCCAAAAAGGAAGGAAGGATTCATGTAGTCTACCAATTGAAAATTGTAACTGGCTTGGTAATAGTTTACTTCCTTGTAATACTTGACGGGCCATGATAATCTCCTCATATTTTGTACTTTTCCTAAATGATTAGTGGCCTTATAAAATAATTCCTCCTCTTTCTTGTTTCAGGATAAAGATCTGCGGTATCGTTTCATCTATAATCCTTTTCCAAGCCTGGGAGAGGAGGTACGTCCTTTTTCCCGTAAACTATTGATTATTTTTTCTAATCCATTTTCAATTTACCGTCACAAACCTCTACCTTGCTCTAGTATGAATATGAGTAAGTGTAACCAATACTACCTGTTTTGTCTTGACGAAGTTATCATTGAGCAATATAAATCTTTATTTTAAACTTATGCATAACAATACTCTGCTTTTATATCCCTTGTCTCTATCCAAAGTTTTCTTTATTAAAATATTCTCATGGATTTGTGTTTCCTTGTAGTTTTCTAGTTTTTGAGAAGGACCTTCAATAAAATTCATCATCTTTCTTTCCTCAAAGAAAACAGTTATTGTTAGCGGTTTCCATCTTTTTCTTCCTAAATTTAAAACACAACATTTCACTCACAAAAGTATACATATTCTTGAAATACTTGTTTAAATGTGTACTGGCCCTTTTTTCTTTCTCTCTCAATCTTTGATGTCAACTGATTTTTCAGGAAATTATAGGTAAAACTGATACTGAGATATTTTCTGGAGCCGGTGTAAAAGAAAACCAGGAATTCAAGAGAGAGGTCATGGAGCGAGGTCGGCCTGCTAAGAGGGAGATAACATTTGAGACTGAATTATTTGGATCAAAGACCTTTTTGATATATGTTGAACCGGTATTCAACAAGGCAGGAGATACCATAGGCGTGAATTATATGGGAATGGAAATAACTGATCAGGTAACTATTTCAAGCTTCCTACTCTTGTCTCTTGTTCTTATAGTTCTCAAGCTTCTGCTGTTGTTTATCAGATCATTGTTAGTTTTCAAGATTCAATTTGCTATAAATTAATTTCTATTATATTTATACAGGATAATACTATTAGCAGAATAAAATGAAACAAAGGGTTGTTCAACAAAAATTTCCATCATTAAATGCATTAAATGTAAGTTGAGGCATTGTCAGTTGATCACCATTCTTAGAACTAAATCATATTCTAACCCTGCTGAAGTATCTTTCCTTGAAAGTGAGCAAACAATAAATGAAAGTACTATATGCTCTTTCATCTTTAAGAGCATGAAACATGGAGCTTTTTCCGTAATCTAAATATGCTTCATAAAATAGAAACCTTCAGGTGGTTATTTACTAGATCAGTTTCTTTATTTTAATGGAGGTTATATGTTCATAGTGAAACCATGATTGGTGAAAGTCCATTTGAAAATTTGTTTTATCCAAAAGAAAAGTTTGCAGTTTGAAATTTGATTTTTTAATGCCTTCCTTTCTAATTTCGAAAAAATGAATATTGTTTCATCATAATCTTTCGTTTTACATGTATTATGCACATATCTCTATTTTGTCTTCATAATTATTGAATGGCATTAGAATGTTCCCAAGAGCGTTATGACACCGAATTGAGTAAAGCAACCTCTTTGTATTGCACATAATTCAAAGTAGTTTATTTTCTTTGTTTCCTTTGTTTTCGCGCTCTTCCCTTTTTCTTTTGCTAGTCTTTCTTCTGTTATCTTAAGATTCTAGTTTCTACTTCATATGAAACTATATTTCAGTCATTTCACAACAGGTGATAAAAAGGGAAAAGATGGCTAAGGTTCGGGAAGAGATGGCTGTCCAAAAAGCTAAAGAAACAGAGTTAAATAAAACGATTCACATAACAGGTATCCCCGATCCATGTTTATATGTATTAAAATTAGGTTCAAATGCAACTATTCATGTACTTAGAATATTTAACTTGTTACTCGTGTCCTTGCAGAGGAAACAATGAGAGCTAAGCAAATGCTGGCAACCATGTCTCATGAGATTAGATCTCCTCTTACTGGGGTTGTTAGTATGGCTGAGATTCTAGCAAACACTAAAATGGATAAAGAACAACACCAACTACTGGATGTTATGATATCATCCGGAGATTTGGTTCTACAACTCATCAATGACATACTCGACCTTTCCAAGGTTGAGTCCGGTATGTCTCATCCATTTAACATGTTGGCATTAAAATTATTGAATTGTCATTATCAAAGACCACAAATAGAGTTCACTCTCAGTTTAATCTATGGATTTTTACGTTGGTTCCTTGTTTCTCTTAGGAGTTATGAAGTTGGAATCAACAAAATTTCGACCAAGAGAGGTAGTAAAACATGTACTTCAGACCTTTGCTGCATCTTTGAAGAAAGAACTTACATTGGAAGGACATGTAGCTGAAAATGTTCCAGTAGAAGTAAGAATTCGATGCTCGAATTTACTTTTGTTGAATGCCCTTTCCTAAAATTTGTGGAGGGATTAATATGAGTTTGTTTTTGTTTCATGCCAGTTCCTTAACTTTGTGAAATAATCACTATGCCTTCATAGTTTTTTGCTTTCTTCTGTTAGTAACTGTTGAATGATTTCTTGATTTTGAATATTGTCTAATATAAAATTGTTGTCTTAACAAATTGATAGTTTATCAACTATAGTTTCTGAAAGTGCTAACTATTAAATTTAACTTCTATGCAATATTTGTCAATGACCATAGTTATTCCACATATTTCTTTTAGGTAATCGGAGATGTGCTAAGAATTCGGCAAATTCTAACCAACTTAATCAGGTAAGCTTCCAACAAGTTTTGTATCTTCCAACAACTTAATCAGTGTTCCTGTTTTCAGTTGATTTCGTTCAAATTTTGCAGCAATGCGATCAAATTTACGCACAAAGGGAAAGTCGGTATAAAACTTCATGTGGTATCAGAACAATATCCGCAAGTTCTTTCAGGTGGAAATGCTTCTTATCAGTCACAAAGAGTTATAGAAGAGAACTCTTCAGAAGATCAAATTTGTGACAACATGGAAACTTCAAGTTCTCCAAGATGTAATGGGGAACTTGAAGAAACCTCAGATGAAGATTCTGAAAAGAAAGCCCGCCCACACGAAACGAGAGTATGGCTTCGATGTGATGTTTATGACACTGGAATTGGAATACCAGGTTCTATTAAACTCTTGCATTCATACTTCAGTTAGTATTTTTCATTTGTCAGTTTCTTATAAAGACTACAGTCCTATATTGAGGCTGTTTGGTTCGGTACAGCTGATAAATTACAATTGACAAATTACAGTTGCAGTGAACCAATCAACTCCATTGTCTTTCCTCTATCTTACTAGCGTTTCCTTTTCATCTCACAGAAAAGGCACTGCCTTCATTATTTAAGAAATATATGCAAGCCAGTGCAGATCACGCGCGAAAATATGGTGGAACTGGGCTTGGCCTCGCTATATGCAAACAACTGGTGAGTCTTTATCATGCTTCCAAGCTTTTCATTTCACCAGACCCCTATAGTTCAAGCTTATAATACAATCCCTTTGTCTTTCAAGGTTTTATAATGTATTGACAATGATAATACAATTTTGACAGGTGGAGTTGATGGGTGGTTGTCTTACTGTGAGCAGCAAACAACACTGTGGGTCAACGTTCACATTTGTGTTGCCTTATAAGATTCCATCAAAAAGGGAGCATTCTGAAGACACCGATGAAGATTCCTCTGCTTCTAGTGATGAAGATATTAGTGTTGAGGAACTTAATGGAACATTTCTCTTTAAACCGCATACTTTGGGTACATTTACTTCTGATGGATCTATGAATCGAAAGACAAAAATGTTATGTCGTAGTTCATTGAAGCCTTTCAGTAGTATTAGTGGCCTTTCAGAAGAGTCTGATTCATTTTCTTCAAATAGTTGTTTTCCGAGGGAGACAGCTTCAGCTGATGACTTTTCCCCAGTTTCTAATGGGAAAAACACATGCAATGATCATGATACCCACCGTACTAATACTATGAAGAGAAGAGAAGAAACCCTAGCAAGTAACGGTTTCCATATGGATTCAAGTACAAGTCCGCATAGTGGGAGTTCTGAGGAATGTGCAACGAGATGCTCAGAGGAAGCTAATACATCTTGTAGTAGCATCCATAGATATGAAAAAGGTCCAAACTTTCCAAGCTTAACAAATGGAAGTTGTCAAGAGAATACAATTCGCTTGAAGCCGAAAATTCTTCTTGTAGAAGATAACAAAATCAACATAATGGTAGCTCAATCAATGATGAAGCAGTTGGGGCATAGCATAGATGTTGCAAATAATGGGTTGGAGGCAATTCGTGCAGTTCAACGTTCTCAGTATGATATTATTCTAATGGTAATATTACTAAGTATGATTTCTATTTTGCTTAGCACATTCTGTTTGATTTAACTCTAATATCACGATTTATTTGCTACTATCTTCCTAGATTGTCCAAATTTTTATAATGACACCCTTGCATCATATAATATTTCAGTTACCTTATCAAAATACGTGCTGTAAAGCCTGTAATCATTTCTTTTCCTTTCCCCCTTCATTTCTGCTCAATATTGAAATCAGTAACTGGTTATGTTTAGTGGTCTATATCAGCTTCTTGGTGTGAGTGTTCTCTTAATTTCCTTAATGCTTGAAGTTCTCTTCAGTTTCCAATTCACAATGTTAGAAACTATTATTCTCGTAACTTTGAATAACTTGTAAAGAAATCATTCATAGCCGTCCGAAAATCTATCTTTTCATAATTTTCTATAAATAGCAGAGTATGATTTTTGAGAGCCCAGTACAACCTACAACTGGTCATCATTTTCCTAATAAGTTACCATGCCATAAAAGTGACTTGTGTAAACTACTCTAATATATGATTACCCGATTGATACTTTTATGAAGTAAAATATTCTAACTATGATTTCCTAATCATTAGAACTATTATGACTATGTTTTTCAGTCAGGTAATAAATTATTCTTCAATTTAGTTATCTGATTCATAAATTACCTTACTGGCTAGCATTTTCCTGGCTATTTGGATATCAGACTGTTTATGGTCTTCTTTGTGTGCGTGTTTATTTTATTTATCTTTTCTGGTGGTGGATTATTAAAATTTGGGTTGATCGCAGATAGACCCCTTATATTCTTGTTGTTTCAAACGTTCTGCTCATATTATTTTTATTTCTCTGATAGACCCCTGCGTGAAATTTCTGTGAACTCTTTTACCCTCAGAGAAACAGACATTTGTTGATTTGACAAATAGACCTCCTAAATGTGAAAGAGTCAAAAATTTTCACTGAGTGGTCCATTTGCAAAAATAAAACTGTGTGGGTAGTAAGTATGAAACAGCGATACTACAGGTCTTTCCGCAATTCTCCCTTAAAAAATTCGTTTTTCTTTATGTTAACCCATAAAACATACAATCTACAACACGTTGCAGGATGTTTACATGCCGGTGATGGATGGCCTTCAAGCCACAAGATTTATACGTTCTTATGAGCAACATGGCTACTGGGATGCTTCCATAGGAGAGAATGGCGTTTGTCATGCTGCGACTTGCTCAGATTCTAAGCAAAGGGCTCTAGATGAAGGGCACCACAGTAAGAGGATACCTATAATTGCTGTAAGTCACTCTATCAAATCATGGTCTTCTGTCAATTTTCATTCTTTATCTCTCTCTATGCAGTATTTGTTGTAATTTAGATCTTTGTGTACCTTGTGCTTCAAAGACGACCCAAGATCCTTAAATATTGTCACCCTTTTCTTTCAAGATTCATCCTTTTCTTTCAAGATTCATCACATTCTAGAAATCTTTTAAATATGGGTCTAGAATCTCTAGCTACGTCATCTATCCAACTCCATGGTTTATGACGGGTCACTGCCTGATATTTTCTCTTGGAGACCTCACAAGTACACACAATTATCTTTTGAACCGCTGATGGTATATTTACTATTTGTCATAGAGAATGTAGATGCAATGCAATATACTTTGTTGGTCCTTTTTACGCTTTTACAGCATTTCTTTGAGAGTATCTCCATAGCTTCTGCAAAGTGATGAAAAAAGTTGATTCCAGGTATTTCATGTAATGTTGGAGAAATTACCCACTAAACCAGAGAATAGTAGAGACAATCACAAACACAATATTTACGTGGTTCGATCAAATTGATCTACGTCCACGGCAAGAGGGTGTATCACTATATTCAATCTCAACATACAACACTCATACAAAATATTGAGAGCTCACAGATTTCGTTGTGTGGCTTTCTCTCTCTTTTTCTCTCAATCACTCACTGCTGGATTTCTTAGATTTTGAGTGTATCTGAAATGAAGAGAGGGGAGGAGTTTTATAGCCTTCAATTCCTTCAATCCAGCTACCAATCACGCCATCAATTCTCTCCTGTCACCATCCTTCTTCATTTGTCATTACTAGGCTACATCTTTTCTTTCTTTTGTCAAAAGAAGTTGCCACCGAATACATGCATCCACCTTTGTCTTCATAGGTCAACAAATGTGGCCATAAAATTGCCACTGATCACATGCATCCACCCTTGTCTTCATAGGTCAACAAGTGCGGCCATAAACATAACAATCTCCACCTCGGTGAAGTTTTCTCAAAACTGAGCCGACACTAATAACTAGTGAGTCTTCACCCATCTTGCAAACAATGCCCCAAGCGGGGCCACCTAACAAGAGTGAATGCCTCCCAAATTCAAGCAGTGCTTGAACTTGTAGGTCGGGATGGGTTTGGTCAACATGTCAGCTGGATTGTCTGCAGTACCAATCTTCTTCATCGTGATATTCCTTTCAGTAGTTGCCTCACGAATGAAATGATATCTGACATCAATATGTTTTGTCCTCTCATGATGTGCTGAGTTTTTGCTTAGATGTATTGCGCTCTGATTGTCGCAAAATACAACTGAACTAGCCTCCTGCTGTAGTCCAAGCTCACTCACGAGATTTCTCAACCAAATGGCTTCTTTTACCGCTTCTGCTGCTGCCATGTATTCTGCCTCTGTAGTAGACAAGGCAACTGTTAATAGCTGAGCCAGAAAGAGTAAAAAGATAACCAGTCAAAGATCTCCTTTTATCGAGATCACCTGCATAGTCAGAATCCACAAAACCTACAACAGAGGTTCCCAAAGTATTGCTATCAAAAACTAAACCCAAATCTGAGGTACCCCTGAGATACCGAAGGATCCACTTTACTGCCTCCCAGTGTGCCTTCCCTGGTTGAGCCATGTATCTGCTCACTACACTGACTGCCTGGGCAATGTCTGGACGAGTGCAAATCATAGCATACATAATGCTACCCACTGCATTAGAGTATGGAACTCGGGACATCTCCTTCTTCTCGTTTTCACTTGTAGGTGAATCTGAAGCCGAGAGCCTAAAGTGAGGAGCCAAAGGAGTCGTAACGGGCTTGGCCTTCTTCATCCCAAAGCGTTCAAGTACCTTTTCAATATAGCTCTTCTGTGAGAGATATAATGTTCCAGCTTTCCTGTCCCTCCTGATCTCCATACCTAAGATCTTCTTTGCTGCACCAAGATCTTTCATCTCAAACTCATCACTGAGTTGTTTCTTCAAAATAAGAATCTGCGACATGTTCTTAGCAGCAATAAGCATGTCATCGACATATAATAGAAGATAAATAAAAGAATCATCTCCTAGATGCATGTAGTACACACAACTATCATAAGTACTTCTTGAGTACCCATGACTAAGCATAAAATTATCAAACCTCTTGTACCACTGTCTGGGAGATTGCTTCAGGCCGTACAAAGATTTCTTCAATCTGCAAACTTGATCTTCTTTACCTTCTACGAAGTATCCCTCTGGCTGAGACATGTAGATAGTCTCCTCAAGTTCGCCATGTAAAAATGCAGTCTTCACATCAAGCTGCTCAAGCTCCAGATCAAATAGAGCAACCATGGCAAGCAATACACGGATGGAGGTATGCTTCACAACCGGAGAGAACACTTCATCATAGTCAATTCCCTCCTTTTGTCTATAACCCTTAGCCACCAACCGTGCTTTGAATCTAGCATCTTCAACCCCTGGGATCCCTTCTTTCTTCTTGAAAATCCACTTGCATCCAATTGCCCTTTTACCCTTAGGTAATTGCACCAAATCCCAAGTCTGATTCTTGTAGAGTGACTCGAGTTCTTCTGTCATAGCTGTGGCCCAACGTCCAGATTCTCCGCATGAGACAGCTTCAGTAAAGTTTGATGGCTCTTGAATACTCATCTCTTCAGCTGTCGTGAGAGCATACGCCACTAATTCAGCATGTGCATATCTTTGAGGAGGTTTGATCTGTCTCCTCTCTCTGCCAGTGGCTATGGAATAAGGTTCTTCAGTCTCAGCATCTGAGCCTGAATCATGTTGCTCTTCTACAGCTGTAGGAGCAAATTTTATAGACGACTTTTGAGACGTCTCTCCCTCGAGCTCCACCTGAAGCTCCACCTTATCCATGGTCTTCTCTACATTTCCTGTAGACTCAACAGAAACCTTCCCATGATCAAGCATATATCTTTCATTAAAAGTAACATCTCTACTAATAATGAATTTAGGAGAATCAGGTTCAAGACTCCACAAACGATAGCCTTTAACGCCATCAGCATAACCAATAAATATGCATTTCTTAGCTCTAGGCTCAAGCTTACCCTCTCTAACATGATAGTAAGCGGGACATCCAAATACCTTTAAATTTGAATAGTCATTTGGTTTACCTGACCATACCTCATTTGGAGTCTTGTGTTCAATGGCTGTAGAAGGAGACCGATTCACCAAGTAACAAGCTGTGTTAACAGCTTCAGCCCAGAAGCCTTTATCCAAGCCAGAGTTTGAGAGCATACACCTAGCTCTCTCCATCAACGTTCTATTCATGCGTTCTGCCACCCCGTTTTGCTGAGGAGTGTGCCTGACCGTGCGATGTCGTACGATCCCAGAATTTGAGCAGAACTGATTGAACTCACCACTGCAGAACTCTAAACCATTATCTGTTCGGAGACGTTTAATATTCTTTCCAGTTTGATTCTCAACAAGTACTTTCCACTTCTTAAAAGTTTCGAACACCTCGCTTTTACGCCCGAGAAAGTAAACCCAAACTTTCCTGGAAAAATCATCAATAAACGTCAGAAAATAAAGAGCACCACCTTTGGATGGAACCTGAGCGGGTCCCCACAAATCTGAATGGATGTAGTCGAGAGTGCCCTTCGTCGTATGTGAGCCAGTCGAGAAGCTGACCCGAGTTTGCTTCCCAAACACACAATGCTCACAGAAATCCAGTGATGATGTATGATCACCACAGAGTAAGCCACGTTTACTCAAAATAGCCATCCCCTTCTCACTCATGTGGCCTAAGCGCATGTGCCACAACTGAGTAGTGTCTCTATCAGCATCAGAAGACACACCTGCAGAGCCTGTCACCGTACTACCTTGGAGAACATAAAGACTGTTCACCTTACTACCTTTCATCACAACCAATGAACCCTTAGTAACTCTAAGAGCTCCACCTTCGCCAGTGTAAGAACACCCAATAGAATCCAAAGAACTCAAAGAAATCAAATTTTTCTTTAAGTCCGGGATGTGCCTTACATCTGATAAAGTTCTCACTATCCCATCATGACACCGAATGCGAACTGTACCAATGCCAACTGTCTTGCAAACTGCATTGTTGCCCATCAAAACTGATCCACCACTTATAGATCTGTAAGTAGCGAACCAATCTTTATTTGGACACATATGAAAAGACGCACCTGTATCCAAGATCCATTCTTTATCGGAACGGCCATCCAAGGGACATACTGTAAGAACCGTCTCAGCAACAACGGTAGTATCAGCCTTTGCCGTATTAGCTGAATCTGATGTTTCACCATGCTGGTTGTCTTTCTTCTTTAGAGCATAGCATTCTGACTTATAATGCCCTTTCTTGTGACAGTAGAAACACTCCATATTTTTCTTGTTTGGGGCTGACCTGGACTTTGAGCGATTTCTGGATTGCCCTTTATCACCTTCTCTGGCCTTCGATCTACCTCTGGCTAGCAGACCATCAGCCTGCCCATCGGTACCTCTCCCATTCAACTTTGTTCTCAACTCAGCAGAGTTCAAAGAGGCCTTCACATCCTCAAGACTTATGGATTCTCTTCCATACAACATAGAGTTAACAAAGTTTTCATAAGAGTCAGGCAAGGAACATTTCGAGCTTTGACCACAACCCCGCTGCCGTTTCCTCATCGGCAACTTCACGAAGCACATTGTCGGATAGTGACAATTGCAAGGCGCTATGAGCCTTTTCGTCCATCTCTTCGATCTCGGCACTAGTCATATCTTCTGGGTATTTCCCATCGATAGCTTTAACCGTGCCTTCACGTCGTAACAAAGCCTTCATCTTTATCCTCCATAGGCCGAAATTGTTCTGGCCATCAAAGATCGACACCGAGAACTTCACAGAAGCCATTGTGGAGGATTGAAAGCTGTCCGAGAATCAAGAAGCTCTGATACCAGTTTGTTGGAGAAATTACCCACTAAACCAGAGAATAGTAGAGACAATCACAAACACAATATTTACGTGGTTCGATCAAATTGATCTACGTCCACGGCAAGAGGGTGTATCACTATATTCAATCTCAACATACAACACTCGTACAAAATATTGAGAGCTCACAGATTTCGTTGTGTGGCTTTCTCTCTCTTTTTCTCTCAATCACTCTCTGCTGGATTTCTTAGATTTTGAGTGTATCTGAAATGAAGAGAGGGGAGGAGTTTTATAGCCTTCAATTCCTTCAATCCAGCTACCAATCACGCCATCAATTCTCTCCTGTCACCATCCTTCTTCATTTGTCATTACTAGGCTACATCTTTTCTTTCTTTTGTCAAAAGAAGTTGCCACCGAATACATGCATCCACCTTTGTCTTCATAGGTCAACAAATGTGGCCATAAAATTGCCACTGATCACATGCATCCACCCTTGTCTTCATAGGTCAACAAGTGCGGCCATAAACATAACATGTAACGAAGATAACAAAGCATGACCAAGATACAAAGTATCCAAGGATAGTCCCCTGGAAGCTAAGAACTATTAATGTTTTCCGAAATTGTTCAGGACACAAATTTCGACAGGATAGTTTTTTGGGAAAACATGTCATCTAGATTTTTCAAATTTCGACATGATTATTGAACATAATTACCATCCAAAAACCCAAACTAGAAGCCTTGCAAAGGCGGATATGAGACTGGTTGATTGAACACCACACTGTCGGGAATACTGTTTGCTTTGAACAATTACTTGCTTTCTTCAACTCCACATAACAGAATCTGAAGTTTGAGAACTCCATTAACTCTTGAAAAACCAGGTGCACATAAAAGGAATCCACAGGTTATTCCTTTCAGTACAGAGTCAGCATCATAGACAAAAGCTCCCACATCCATTGAACATTCACCATCACCTTCCACCTGTAACTCTAGTCGCCTGTGCCTTCCCTCCCTGGATTCTTGGGTCTCCTTCCACTAGGTTCAACAGTCACCCGATACATATTTAACGCAAAGTTTTTTTTTGTGGTGGTGGTGGTTTTTTTTTTTTTTTTGTTTGGTGGTTGGGGGGGGGGGGGGGGGGGGCACTGATCAAAATAGCTCAAATTTCATTGCTCATTATTCATGGCATGCTCTTTCAAGCTTTCTATAAGCATCATTTCTGATGCATATGTTACTAAAACTTATGTCCTTGAAGAAGGAACTTACGCCTAAATTGTTGACTTCGCAACTATGACTGGAGAGTTACCTGAGTTGCTATGATTTTCACAACCTATATCCATAGTACTAACTTCTAAATTTCTTGTGGTTATTGTTTCGAATCAGATTATTAATTAAACTATTTGTACATAAAAGTATCCATATCTAATGTAGTTTGCAACTACTTAAAGAAACACTTTACAATGGTTAAATCAATGCAGATTGTTGCAGTAATTTGCTAATATGCAAACTAATATGCAAATATCCTTTTGTGTATTTCTCTTGTACTGAGAAAAATGGTTCTCACCATAGGCTGGTCATCTTTTTATTAATAGTATTGCTATGTTCACAAGATCATTTTCTGCCTGCTGTGAATTCATTGAAAATTTGATATCCCTTGATGCAAATAGTTATGACATGGTTTAAAGATCTCCGAATCGATATGAGGAATGTTCTGTTTATTGCAGATGACAGCAAACTCTCTATCAGAGAGTGCAGAAGATTGTCTCGCTAATGGAATGGACTCATTTGTATCTAAACCTGTAACCTTCCAAAAATTGAAACAGTGTCTAGAACAATATTTGCCTCGATGAATCATTGTAAATTACTTTCATCTGTAAAATATAGAGGAAATGTAGTCAAAGAAATTTTGTAATTAATGTATCATAGCTTTACTAGTTAATCGAGGCCATGTATACACTTTGCTCCTCCGTCACTAGCAAGTTCATGTATGTTGTGTAATAATAATAGTTCCTTTTTGACTCAAATGTGAAATTCTTCATATATTCATAAATAGGTCCCCAACGTAATATAGAATTACTCCATAATATAGAATTAATCCATGAACTCGACATGATAGTTTTATACTGTTCTAAAGCTAGATAAGGAGGCAAAACTTATAAAATTATTCAATAAAAAACCTACTAATATCTGCAAAGAATCATATTAGATACATATTTTATTGCAAATGAGGAACTTAATTGTTCATCATTTTGCAACTTTGCCAAATTGACGTAAAATATGAAATCCCCAATTTATTCCTAATAAATTATCATAGCAATGCAAAAAAAAAAAAAAAAAAAAAAAAAAAGAGAAGAAAAAAAAAAAAAAAAAAAAAAAAAAACAGAGGATATCCTAGACTTGAGGAATAGGATGTCATCCTTTGAATATCAAATAGCTCGTGCATAATACAACGTGCTAAAAAGGGACATTATATAATAGAGGCAGGTATAGAAAATTGTTGGATAGTAGTATTTCTAATCTGTTTTGGTAACATGAGGTTATTAGGATTCCTAATTTGTTTTGTTTTTGGTTTTAGGATTCCTAGTCTGCTTTGATTTTTAGTTTTTCTATATACATGGAGATTAGAATCAATCATCAAAATAGAGGAGAGTTGTAATTAGAGATTAGAGAGACTTTTGAGCATTGTGAGAGGGAGATATTGTGAGCAAGTTGAGAGCTTTGGTTGAGGGTTAGTTTGTGAGTTTTGTGAGATTATAACCCTTTGTACTCTCCTTGATTTAGTGGAATCTTCCCCATCCTCTCCCCGTGGACGTAGACAATTTGCCGAGCCACGTAAAATTGGTTGTCTCGCTATTTGTATGATTTGTAATAGCTTATTTAGGTTCTGTAAGGACCGTGAAATTTCGATATTTGTTAAAATAATTTCCTAATATTTTAAATATTTAATTATTATTTTTGGAAGAGTATTTATATTTTTCTCAAATTTCTACAATTTTCTATGATTTAAAGTCTAAGTTTTATATTTATTTAAATGATATTAATATTTATAAATTAATTTTATGCGGTGAAAATTTATGAAATTTATCTGTTGCGTTATCGATACTGTTACATGTCATTTTGAATAATATGTTGTATTATTTTTATTATTACGTATATTTTTGTATAATACGATGTATTATTAATTACATATTATTTGTATAATTTTTTATATTATTTTTACTATTGCGTATTATCGGTCGTATTAGTACAACTGGTACGTTTTACTGTGTATATAATTATCCTATAATTATATGATTTTAAATGTAAGTAAATATATTTTTATTATTAATTATTTCCGTGTAATTGTACAATATGGGTATATTTTGACTATTTCGTATCAACTGTTGTATTAGCTCAACATGTACGTTTTTAATTGTAGATAATTATTATGTAATTAGTTTAATTTTTAAGTACCCGTAATTATTTATTTTAATTATTTTTGTTTAAATACCAAACCCTAATTTCTTTCATAATATTATATATATATATATATATATTGTAATATATAATATTATATATTATATATATATACTATATATATATATATCATTACTCCTTAAAAGGCACGCAGTTCGGAAAAGTCTTTTTTAGACATATATACGCCATTTATAGTTTGAACTACCTTATCCTATAATCAAATTCTAATTTTCAATGGCTCAAGTATTAGCCCTTCACCTATTTTTTTTTTGAATATTTTTATTTATATCTTAATCTATCCTAATGCATAATCATATGCTTATCCTAATCCTATGGTGAACGCATGTTTAGCCTTAACATTTTAAAAAAAACTAATATAATTAACAAATATTATAAAACATAAAAAATGATCATTAGTTGTTTAAGATAAATAAATTACAAGTAGAGATAACAGTATTATAATAGACTATGAGATTATTGCAAAAAAACCATAAAGAGTTTTAAATTGTTAGAAAAGACCCGTGAAAAGTTCAAATTATAAAACTCAATCCAAATGCTTCAAGAACATCTAAAATAAAAAACATGAAATTAAAAAATTAACCATCAGTTGCAAAGAATTTAAAATTTACAGTTAATACACCTCAATGTCTCAAATATATAGAAACACCTCAAAAGTTTAAATTACAGACAAGCATATTAAAATTCGTAAAATTTTAAAAGCTTACAAGCAACAGAGATGAAATTCAAGGATTACCATGATTACACGCTAAAATTGTTCTAACGATTTAAATTTTAAAATTTTTTTAATTAACACGCCTCAATATCTCAAAAAAAATATAGAAACCCTGCAAAAGTTCAAATTATAAAAAGCCACCTAAAAATTCTAAAAATTTATAAATAAAATAAAGATGAATTCAAGATATTACCCGCTTAGACACCTAAAAATTAAAATTCTGCCAAAGATTAACCTCAAATTTTTAAAAAACTCCTTCAAATTTTAAAAATCGCTAAAAAAACTCTAATTTTCAAAATTTTTAACTAGCACACATCAATTTCGTCGATTGGCTAGACTGCTAAAATTTAATATTTTTCAAAATTAATACTATAGTTTTAATAATTGGCCAAAAGACACCGTCAAATTTTTAGGCAGTTATAAGAAATATGACTAACATTTAAAAATTACACACCAACACATGAAACATAGAAATTTATAACTAGCCAAACTTAAGAGTAAAATTTTTTTAAAACTCTTTCAAAAATTTTTAAAAAATTATAAATCACATGTCCTCAAAGCCTTAAAACGCACAAAAATGGTGCTAAATAATTTTTAAAACTTCGGCCAAAGAAAAGTGTACAATTATTTAGTATTTTTCATATGATACTATATATATATATATATCATATATATATATATATATATATTATCATATATATATATTATATATATATATATATATATATATATTAAATTTCTAATTTAGGGATTTACTATCTGATTTTGCAGCATCTAAGAATTTTCTAAGTGATACTTGGTAAGGCAAAAACAATAAGAATTGATTAAATAACATCCGCGTTAATGGATAAATTGTTTTAAAAATATTATAGATTAAAAATTATCGGCACTATTACTAATTAAAGTAATTTTCATATAATTTTAGTAAATAAGTTGGGGTAGCCAAAATACATTCGTAACATTAATTTGATAGATGTTTAAATGCCATTAGAAATGATAAAATACCTATAATATTATACCTTTAGCATTAATTGACTTTTATTAGAAACTTTGAACGTTTGACGCTTAATAATATTTATAGGGGCTAAAAGAATAGCAACGGAATACATTTGGACGAAACTATTTAGAATATTTAGAGGGATACTTTAAAAAGATTGAGTTATTTGTCATTGCAAATGGGAAAGTGATGGAAATAAATCTAAATTCAGAAAAACGTCAATGAAATCAAGCTTGAATTGGCATTAACATAAGACATATCCTATTAATGAAGACTGATGAGTTACATTAAAAAATAATTTAATAACTTATTCATAATCAAAGAAAAAATCTCCATGGAAGACATAAGAAAAATTAGTAAGTATTCTAAATTTCATATTGTGTTCTTCAAATTAAATATTAATATTATAATGCTAAGAGAAATTGGTAATGAATAATGCAAGTATTTTAGTTTAGATCTTTATGGAAAATGACAGGATCGAGCAAAGATAATATTATTAAATATAACAGAAATTCTTATTGGATGTACATCAAGAAGAATTCATTTTAGAGGAAATAAAGAGTTAGCTTCTAATTTATTTAAGTAATAAATTAGGAAACACAAAGAATTTTATATATATGAAATTAATATTTATTCTGCATTGGAAAATAGAAAAAAATCAGAGTCTAATATTTTGAGGCAGTTTGTGTTGAACCATCATAAGTATGCATTTGACTTCTTTGTAAGGTTAAATGAGATATAAAAAATTAACGAGCCGCAGGAAAGATACATAGCATAAAAATAGCAAACATTAGCCTGAACTGTCACAATTGATGTAGATGATGAATGACAATACTCTAGAATTATCCGAGAATGATAAATGATACGCTGAAGAGGATTGATCTTAACTCAATAAAAAATAAAATAGAAGCAAATAAAAATAATATTTTTATGAATATTTTATGGAATAGTTTAATTATTTGGGTGAACATTAGGATCTTTAGCAGAGAGTTTGCATGGAATTTTTTGCAGTACTTTTATATTCTTTGTGGATTTGCTTTTTTCTAAATAAAAGTATACTATAGTTAGCATTAATGCTTTATTTATATTTTTTTATGAAGTGCTATCAATGATTAGGAATAAACTTTAAGTATTCTCTTTGTATCGTTTTAACATACTTTATAATCAAGCATTTTGCATATTGGTTTAATATTCACGCTTCCTTGTATAACACTATTTTTAATATTTTTCACTTTGCAATGCCTATACTTTCTCAAATTAAAGCGTAGTTCAAATATCGGTCAAAAAAATAATATAAAATTCAAGATTATTTTTAAATTTATATTTGTTTTTTGTCAATTCAAGATATCATACATCGAAAATTTAAATTGGGTGTATCCGCATTTAAACAACACATAAAAAAATAATCGGGGATGTAAGAGTTTTAAAGAAAAAAATGAGCAGGCAATTGTAAACATACTTAATCATGGTATTAAATCACGTGCATTGACGTATGTAAAACTAATATATATATGTGTGTGTTTTTTATATAATTCTTTTGTTTTCTCGTCTCTGTGCCTTCGGTTTCTTCCTGCAAACACCCAGCCGCCGCCTTGTATATGCTCCTCCTCTGTCTCCTGCAGACCTCCGCGACAAGCCCTCCAACCATGCGACATCGCCCCCTTGCTGGCCCCGTCGCCGCGACGCGCGCGGCCGTGCACCAACCGCACCGCCACCCCGCCGATCGCCCGCACCGCCCTGGACCACGCCGCGTCGCGCTCCTTGGCCGTCGCAGCCAATCCCCGCGCGCCAGGCACTCCGCCCCAGTCCCCTCTTTCTGCCTCAGTCCCCCTCTCTCCCTGCCGGCCTCCCTTTCCCCGTCGCCAGCTTCCCCCAGATCCGACTTCGACGACCAACCGCCTCCATCTTCCTCCTCCCACCGCTCAGCCAGATGGCGCGCTCTCGCGCAGCCTTGACGCCGCAGTCCCGTCCGCGACTGCTCGCTGCCCAACCCGCAACGGACGCGTCTCGCGGCTGCAGCGCCTCTCCTCCACCTCGCGTACGCTCCGCCTCGGCCAACCTCCAGATCTAACTCCGATGAACCGCCGCCCTGAGCCCTCGTCGTCGCTGAACAACCCCCAGCAGCTCAACACTCCGCTGACCCCTGAGATCCGCCCCGCTCAGCCTCGACAACCGATCTCCTCCCCAACGATCGCCAAGCCCTCCGCTAGAGCCTCTCCCGACGCCCCTGCTCGCCGTCGTCGTGCTCGCCGTCGTCATGCTCATCGAAGAACCCTCGTCCATCTCTGACGAACAGATCCGATCTCCTCCCCAACGATCGCCAAGCCCTCCGCTAGAGCCTCTCCCGACGCCCCTGCTCGCCGTCGTCGTGCTCGCCGTCGTCATGCTCATCGAAGAACCCTCGTCCATCTCTGACGAACAGATCCGATGCAGTCGCACTCCCCCTCGCCCGTTACATCCCAACGACACCCGATGTAAGATCCCTTGCTCATCTTGTATTTTATCAAGTATTTTTAGACTGATATAATTATCTGCGTGGGCTTGTTGATGAAGTTATGAATTTCTGCATATTTTAGTTTGTGATATAGTTATCTGCGTGAGATTGTTTGGTGAATAATATTAAGTAAATCACAATATTATAATAAATGATATTTTCAGAATAATTATAATGAATTAAAAGAATTTATTTTGGCAGCGGAAATATTTTTAGATAATTATGCTAATTTAAAAAGAATTTATTTTGAGAACGGAATCATTTTAGATAATTATAATAATTTAAAAGAAACTATCTTGGAAGAAGATTATTTTTAGAATGTTTATAAATAAATTAAAGGAATTTATTTTGAAAAGGGAACTATTTTAGATTAATTTTAATTAGAAAGAAATTATTTTGTAAGAGGAAATATTAAAAAGAATGTTTTTAGAATTTTTTAAAAGGAGTTATTTTGGAAAATGTAATTATATTTGGACAATTATAGCAAGAAATAAAAGATTTATTTCGGATAAGGAAATCATTTTTGAAGTAAATAAATTTATTAATTTTAAGGATTATTTTTGAATGTGTGATTCTCATTTTAATTATCTGATATGCTATGATATTATCGCACATGATTAGTTGCATTGATTGTTCCTGGTTGTGTTTGGGAACCCTTAGTAGTTCATGACTTAGTGGCCTCGTGCGTCATGAACAGACTTAGTGACATGTGTGTGTGTGCGTTGACCGAGTTTAGGTGGTGAACCCGAATTTCAATGAGGATTATGGTTGATTTAGAAAATACAAGAGAGTTGGGATGGGGAAGTTAATGTTCATGTGATCGGATAAGGCTGTTGATGTATCTTCCAGACTCGTACCAGAGACCTGTTTCGTCCTGGGGTTGGTTTGTTGGACAAAGTGGCCTGTTTCGTCACTTTGATCCGTGACTTGTTTCGTCACCTGAGCTTTGCCTGAGTTCGGACCAGACCGAGATCATATTGCGTGTAGTCCTCTAGCCGCCTGTTTCGCGGGATTGGATGCGTGTAGGGGATTTGTGAACAGCCAGTTATCCGGTGATAGGAGCATTGACTCTGTGTGAGATGTGACCAGTGACCTGTTATAGGATGGCTAGTTACTTGACCTCGTTTCTAGGCTAGGTATGACTTTTTGTAAGATACGGATCAGTTGTATTATCTTTTCATACATAGATCGTGATTAATATTCAATTATCTACAATTTGAGACATATATGGTATATACATGAGGGTTTCCTTGTTTGGATTATTTCGCTCGACGTACTACGTCTCGAGTTGTAGATTTTTAAGTATTAATTCCATCTAGTGTATGACCCTATTACTTGGATGATTTCTGATCGTTAGCTGCATGATCTCGTTACCTGATCGATTTTGGATGCTTTATGTTATTATGATTTAGTAGTGTTTTCATGTTGAATTGTGGATTTCAATTGTACGTTCTTTTGTTGTTTCTGTTATCGTATCGTTTTTCGCATTGGATTTCCGTTCGTTCTATTTTCCTTGTGGGGTCGGGTCTTGCCGTGCGTCATGCACCTGACGTACACCTGTTTTCTCTGGTGTACGTCAGACTTAGAGGAAGAACAGGTCCAGCTGGGAGATCGTCAGGAGCCAGAGGGTTCTCAGCATGAGTGCCTTGCAGACGTAGCAGAAGAAGAAGCCGAAGCTTAGTCATTGCTTTCAGTTTGTTTTGTAGCACCTTCATTTCCTTTTGATCAGTGTATTTTTATATTTTTCCAGTATTTCATTCAGATAGTTTTTGTATAAGGGCATGTTTGACCCGAATATTATGTCTTGGATGATATTCATTTGTGATATGTATTATTTTATTCTGAGTTTGTCTATTATATTCTTACTAATTGTGATCGGGGACCTGTGGCTTCGCATTGGACTTATTTCCAGACGCTTAGCGTATTAGGTTGAGGAGAAACATTTATTTTTATTTATTCTCCTTGATCTAATACGTCGCGGGCTTGTTCACGTTCCGATTCCCTGGTATTTTGGGAAGCGGGGCGTGACGGGTTCCCTCAACAGGTCAGTCCTAGAACTGATGAGAGGAAGAGCTGATATCTCACTTGGTTGAGATATTTTGCTTAAGGTTCTTGTTTCCTTTGTGAAACAGGATTTCCTATTGCGACCTGACTCTCTTGTTGTGCTGTCGAAGTGCTGCCGAAATTCCCGCTACGTGCAACAAGTGGTATCAGAGCCCAGATTTCAGATCTAGGGTTTTTGGAATTAGGTGGAGGAAGATTCTTGTGTGAAACTTGGTTCTTGGAGTTCTAGGCTTCGGTGGAGATATCATTAGGAGTTGCCGTTGGAGATTTCGCTTTCCTCGTGTGGACATGAGATCTATTTGGAATCCAATCTAGGGTTCAGTTGGGTGATTCTTAATTTCTATCAAAGTTTGATTCTTTCTCTACAACTTGGAGTTAGTTTGCAATGGGAGAAGAAGGTGAAAACAGCAAATCGATGGCGAGTACAGTTCAAGTTGGTTTTCAGAACACCAATATTAGTGTGGTGAAATATGACGATAAAATCAACTTTGGTTTGTGGATGAGTGACGTACAAGATGCGCTTAATGCTCAGAACTTGGAGGAGACCATCATGGTCCACAAGAGACCACCAAAATATGAAGAGGCGATATGAGAAAAGATGAATAGGAACGCTTGTGGGGTGATCAGGTCCTGTTTGGAACATGAGCTGAAATATGATGTGATTGGGGTGACGTCTGCGATGAAGATATGGGAAATTCTCAACAATAAGTACCTTACGAAGAGTGTTGAGAACATGTTGCATTTGCTGCGTAGGTTATTCAGATTCCAGTGTCCAGAGGCACCTCGCTTGCGGCTCATGTGAACAACTATACGAAGTTGTTGTCGGACTTAGCGAATGTTGATGAGAAGATATCAGATGAGTACAAGACGATTATCTTATTGGGCTCCTTACTGGATGAGGAGTATAACACCTTTGTGCTCACTTTGTTGAACGGAAGATCTTCTATCAGCTATAGTGAAGTTACTAATACATTGACGAATTATGATTTGAGAAGGAATGATAATGAGAGTACAAAGGGTTACAATCTCACAAAACTCACAAACTAACCCTCAACCAAAGCTCTCAACTTGCTCACAATATCTCCCTCTCACAATGCTCAAAAGTCTCTCTAATCTCTAATTACAACTCTCCTCTATTTTGATGATTGATTCTAATCTCCATGTATATAGAAAAACTAAAAATCAAAACAAACTAGGAATCCTAAAACCAAAAACAAAACAAATTAGGAATCCTAATAACCTCATGTTACCAAAATAGATTAGGAATACTATTATCCAACAAAAATAATTATAAAATTACATTCCAAATGGGGGGAAACTGAAACTTTGTTAGTAAAAGATATTGTTTTCCCAAATTTATTTCACAACATAATCGATATAATATAATAACAGATTCCCTAATTTTGGTAATTAAAAGCCAACAAAGCCACTGTTCCAATTAATAAATTTTAGAGGTAGATATGAACCTGAGATGGCTTGAATATCATACTTACTATATCTGCATCCGCATAACAATCTCGAACACTAATATAAATATCCCTCGATAAGAAAAATTCATATCCAAATCCTCTAAAAGTGGATAAGGATACAGATATGCATGTGGATATATTAGCGGATATACACACGGAAATAAAATAGATATGAAAATACTAGATAATATTAAAAATATATCTATTTTATAAGATACAATCGAGTTTATTATATGTTAAGAGCAAAGATTAGATATATTGATCACCAAATTAACCTTGAGCCCATTAATCTAAGGATAAAAACAGTTGCGGCAAAATAATCAATATGTATCGAGATATTTCAGATGCGGATCCAGATATTTCACTACATAATCATATCTATAACCATAGTTTCGTAGCCAATGATATTTCTCCAAGATTTAAAAAGTTCAAAGCTTTTCATAAAAAAGTTACGCTAACCACTTATATCCCGAAAATACGCGTATTTCAAGTGATCTACGGAAACGCGTATTTAAGGAGACCGCGTGGCGTGTTGTAAACGCGACGCGTGTATTTCACGCAGGCCGTGGCCTTTAAATATTGGCACAAGATGTTGTTAGGCCCAGTCATTTAAATGTGGGGGTTTTTGGCTCCTCTCGTCTCTGTCTTCAGCATCAAAGAGGAGCTCGGAGTTTTCAACGCCGGCAACAATGGCGATCACGAGAGTCCTAGGGTTTATGGCCCAATCGATCGTATTGCTCTCTCTCTCTCTCTCTCTCAAAACCCTAATTTTTTAAAATGCTTTTTATTTCGTAAAATTCTTTCTGATTTGGGTCTAATCTCATCTTCAGGTTTATTCAGATCGTGATCATCGAATTCCTTCCCTTTTCTCGATTTCAGTTTAATAATTTATCTAATTTTCGGATTATTGAAATTTAATTTGAATTTTCTAATTGGATCAGAAAGACCGCGCCTTCAGATCTTTGAACAGAAGGGTTTGAGGCTTGAAGGTCGCACTATCGCGAGTTACTCTCTCAATTCGTTTCTTTAGAGTTAGGGTAACTCTTTGCACGATACTTTTTTTTTCTAATGGAAATTTCAGCGTCAAGGAGAAGCTTGGATTTCAACGCCGCAATGATGGCGCGCAGCCGCCAGAATCCAAAGAATTATGTCCCAAGTCCTAACTCTTCGTGCTGCTCTCTCTCAAAACACTAATTTTCTTTTCTAATACTTTTTTATTCATAAATTTCCTTCTAATTGTGGGTTCAATCTTTTGCAGATTCTCATCTTCAAGTTTCTTCAGAGTGTGAATACCGAAAGTTCCTCCCCTTTTCCACATTTTCAATTTATTTATCATTTCTTTTGCAGATTATTGAAATTTAATTGATTGATTTTTTCTGATTGGATCATAAAGCTCGCAGTCAGATGTGGCTCTTTGAACAGCAGGATTTGAGAATTGAAGGTCGCATTTTGTGTGAGTTTCCCTCTCTGTTCATTTTATTAGGGCTAGAGTTACTATTTTCTTTTTAGTGTTACTATTTCTTATTATATGTTAGGGGGTGTTTGTTTCAATTTTTTTTTGGGATATAGGGTGGATTTCAAGTTTTGGGATGTAAAAAGTGCTTTTTTTGAGTTTTGGTATTCCTTAAACTTTGTTTGTTTCACTTTTTTTTTGGGATATTGAATCCCTAAATTATAAAAAAATCATATATTTTTAGGATTTGTGAAATCATCTCTTTTGTTTCAACTTCTTTTTGGGATATAAGGTGGATTACAAGTTTTTTGGGTTTTAGAATTCCATAAACCATGTTTGTTTCAAAACCAATTTTGGGATATTGAATCCCCAAATAATAAAAAACTATTATATTTTAGAATTTGTGAAATCCTACAATTGAGAGAGGATGTAGGTTGGATATTGATGTATTAATGCTTATAATATAAGATTAATACATCTATACCTCTATAATTATAGGAGGACCCAAGAATCACTGTTCATGCTTTAGTAAATGCTGCAGTAAATTACTGTAGCATTATATATATATATATAATATATTATATTATATAATAAATAATATATATATATATATTATATATAATATATATATAATATATATATAAGTATTATGTAATATATATAACATATATATATATATATATAATAAAATAATATTATATATATATAATAATATATATAAATATATAATATTATATAATATAATATAATATATAATATGTATAATATATAATATATATGATATATAGTAATTTAATATTAATATATAATATTAATATGTATAATATATAATATATATATTATATATATAATTTATATATAATATAAATATATAATATATATATTATATTATATACGTATGATATTATATAATAAATAATATATAATTATATATATATATATAATATATATATATATATATATATATATAGTATATATATATATATATAATATAGTATAATTTTATATGATAATATATATAATATAATATATATAATATAGATAATTTATATACATATACTATATATATAATAATATTTATAAATATATATTATATAATATATATACTATATCTAATAATATTATAGTATTAATACTTATATATATATTATATATGTAAATATTCAAGCTGTTCATGCTGCCAGTAAATTACTGTAGCATTAGTATACATATATATATTACAGTATATTATATATAATATTATATATATATTATATATATATATATATAATATATAATATATATAATATTATAATATATATTATATTATATATAATATATATATATTATATAATTTAATATTATAATATAATATATATATATATATAATATATATATATATATTATATTATATATATATTATATATAGTATATCAATATATAATATATAGGCACGCCAATACATCAGTTGTTCATGCTGCGTTTAGTAATTACTGCTAGCCATTATATATATATTATTATATATATTAGCATATAGATATTAAATATATATTATATATAATATTATATATATTTATATATATAATATATTATAGAGATTAATGGCGTATCCTTGGTCATGCGAGGGGATTTTGCTCCTTGACTGCCTCTAAAATTACATGATTGAACGAGCATTGTGGATGATCCGCTGCCGGTTGAACTTAGCTACATATCTAAAACCCAACCACACCAAGTTTTGGGGTGAATTCGGTCGGTCGTTTGACCGCTCCCATCGACGCCATGTAAAAAGTTTCTATTCATTCAAAACCCCGTTAAAATTGATACGAGTAGGATGAAAGGGTCAAACTGACGATGGGTTCAACCCAAACTTTGGTGTGTTGGGGTTTTAGAATGATGTTAGATCAACAGTTCAGACGGCAGGCGATATGCATCTCAGCCTAATTTATGCCTCTTACATTCTAATGTGATTTTAGATGCGCTGATCTAGTAGGAGGAATCCTCTCCTAGGACAAGGATACCCATTAATCTGCATATATATATATATATATATATATATATAATATTATATATATAATATATAATATATATAGGAGGACCCAATAATCACTGTTCATGCTGTAGTATTCCAAATCCTAAAATATTATATAATATTATAATAATATATGTTATTAAAATATTATATAATATTATAATATATAATTTATAGTATTCCAAATCCCAAAATATTGATGAAACAAACAAAATATTACAAATTATAGTATTCCAAATCCCAAAATATTGATGAAACAAACAAAATATTACAAATTTTGGTATTCCAAATCCCAAAATATTGATGAAACAAACAAAATTTTAGAGATCCCAAAACATGTAAAAAATTTTATGGATTTCAAATTCTATGGTGAAATTCATATCCATAAATTTTGGGATACAAAACAAACACCCCCTAGATGTTTTTGTTTTAAAAGTGGATCCCACACTTGATTTTCTCAATGAAAACATGGGCGACTAAATTAATGGGAGGTGCCAAATTTTGTTGAAAATGAAAAAGTGGTGGGCCCCACCACAAGAAATTAGGACGTGGGCTCCACATGTATAGTAAAATAATATTATTTTATTAATGCATAGTATTTTCCCAAACGCTATAAATAAACCCCAAACCTAAGTTGCATGGAAACGGGCACGAGTACTGGTACGGGTGCGGGTACGGGACACGACAAAACTGTAAAATGTAGGATACGGGACACGACTACATATATATATTGAATTAATATTATACATAAGATGATTTTTTCCCCTTCATGTGTCATTAGAATTAAAATTCCGATTACATTTTTGATTTTCTTTTATCATATTGATTATCGTAAATTGTAAACTACTCATTTTTTACTAGACATCTAAACGACCCATTAACTATATAGTTTTAAACTTGGGTATGGACTGAAACGAATCCGCCCGTATCTCATTAGGATATATATATATATATATATATATATATATATATATATATATATATATATATGTTGTAAAATAGCTAGTGCTCGTAGGAACATTGTCTGGACCGAGAAGGTCTTATAGATCGATGAGATCGTTGCCTTGACTAAGAAGGTCTTATAGATTGAGGAGATCGTTGACTTGATCGAGAGGTCCTATACATCGAGGAGATCTTGACAGTACTGAATCGGTGCACATCAGAGTACTGTACTGCTGTTCCTGGAAGCAATTTGACCTTGGAATCCTTGCACCGGAGTAGGTCAAATATTGCTTTAAGCACAGCGTTTTACAAACGCACAGCAGTTAAGTTAAAAATTTTAAAGTACTGCACTTTAGCTTTCTTTTTAGTTTTTGTTGCTTTATATCTGTATTATTTCAGATTTAACCACAGGCGTTAATAATCTTAAAGTAATATTCTGATCTATCATGGATCCTGTAAGGACTCTTGGAGTGGACTATCTTAAGTTAGAGAACTTTGACGGTTCCAACTTTAATGCATGACGTCGGAAAGTGATCTTCGGGATGCAACACTTGAAAATCTACTATGTGATCTCTGAGGAGAAACTCGACTTTGAAGAAAATTCTGAGTCTGAAGCCTCTTGGACTAGAGATTATCACTTCTACATGAGTTATCTCATTAACTGTCTGAACGATCATCTAGCAGATGCTTACACCAACAAGCCCTCTGCAAAGAAAATCTGGAATGCTCTGGAGGACCAGTACAAGGATGAGGAGAAGCTGTCCAAATCTCACATCATCGATAAGTTTCTAGATTTCAAGTTCGAAGAAGACACTGAGGTTTTGTCTCAAGTCAAAGAGCTTGAAAAGCTTGTTATGAAGCTGAAAGATGAAAAGATCCGTCTTTGTCAAACCTTTATTTCTGGTGTAATTATCAACAAGCTTCCTCCATCTTGGAAGTCATTCTCCACTGACATTCGAAGAAGGAAAAGACATGTGACTCTGTCTGATTTAAAAAGATTCATTCGGATCGAGGACGAGACTCGGACTCGCAAGGCGTCTGCTAACAGGGTGACCGCTAACTCTGAGAAGGGTAATAATTCATCTTTCAACAAGAAGAAGAAGTTCTTTAGCAAAAGGAAGAACCAGAATCCAAAGAACCTGAACGTTCAGAAGAAGGAGTTCAAGAATAACGGCAAATGCTTCAATTATGGGAAATAAGGATATTTCGTCAAGGACTGCAAAACATCAAAGAAAGAAACTACACACAATGTCAATCAAGTTGATGATTATATGGCTATGATCTTCCAGGTAACAACTCCTAACAGCAATATCTCTGATTGGTGGTTAGATACAGGTGTTATTTGTCATGTTTGCTCCAATAGAGATTTGTTCTTTTCTTATGTTGCTGCCAAAAAGAATGTATTAATGGATGATCATTCTGTGGTTCCTGATCTTGGAACTGGGATTGTGGTGCTGACTCTCTCTTCAAGAAAGACTCTCACATTGAAGGATGTGAAACATGTTCCCTAAATTGCCAAAAACTTAAGTCTTTGGAAGTTTGCTATGTGATATAGGTATGAGGCTGGATTTCCAAGGAGGTAATGTTGTATTATCCTTTAAAAATATATATTTTGACAATGCATATCGTACTGATGGCATGTATGATGACATGTATAAGATCAGTACTATTGCACCCAACTTAGTTATAAATGAAGTATCCTCTTCTGCTTACTCCCCTGTATAATACGCTAGGACATGTAAATTATAGAAAATTATCTAACATGGAGAAGTTAGGATTACTTCTAAAATATGGGCGTAACAAACCTGAGAAATGTGAAATTTACGCGCAAGCAAAGCTGACGAGGAAGCTATTTTCAAGTGTCACGAGGAGCACCAACCTGTTGGATCTGATTATTTTCAAGTGTCACGAGGAGCACCAACCTGTTGGATCTGATTCATTCAGATACTTGTGACTTTAAGAGCTTCGTCACTCGTGGCGGCAAGAAGTAACCTGTTGGATCTGATTCATTCAGATACTTGTGACTTTAAGAGCTTCGTCACTCGTGGCGGCAAGAAGTAATTCATCACCTTTATTGACAACCATTCTCGCTTCTGTCACGTTTACCTGCTGAAATCTAAAGATGAAGTTTTCAGCAAGTTTGTCAAATTTCGAACTCGAGTGGAGAAGCAGCTTGGACTGCAGGTCAAAAGGCTCAGGAGCGACAGAGGAGGAGAGTACCGATCTAAGGAGTCAGAAGTATACTTTAAGGAACATGAAATCATTGCTGAAACCTATGAAGCACGGATTCACCCCCAATGACCACGAATCCGTGTTCGACACGAATCGGACACGGATTCGTGCCCGACACGCGCACGACACGTGTCGGACACGGTCAATCCGTGTCCGACACGGGTCAATGGTCAAGAGAGGGGGGGACACGGTCAAACAAGGTATGGACACGGTTAGGATACGGCTGTGATGCAAAGAAAAAAAACGGATGAAAAAATTAAACCCGAAACCCAAACCCAATACCCCAAAACAAAACCCTATCTCACTTACCTGAAGCCGACGCCGCCACAACTCTGAGCTCTCTTTGTTCCTTCGTCGCTCGACCCAAACCCAATCCCCCAAAACTAAACCCTAATCTCCTCGACCTCGAAGCTCGACGAACTGTCGCTCGACCCAAACCCAATCCCCCAAAACTAAACCCTAATCTCCTCGACCTCGAAGCTCGACGAACTGACGAAGAACTGACGAAGATCTCCTCTTCCTCGACCTCGACGCTCGACGAAGATCTCATCGTCCTCGACCTCGACGCTCGAAGCTCGACGCTCGACGAACATGTCAGTCTCTCTCTCTCTCGATCTTCGTCTCTCTGGATCTGAGTCCCTCTCTCTATCTCATTCTTTCTCTCTCTTTTCTCTTCGTCTCTCTCCCTCTCTGTTGATCTCTCCCGAGTCTCTCTCTCTCAGTCTCTCTTATTCTCTTTCTTAATCTCTTTCTCAGTCTCTCTCTCTCTCTCAATCTCTCTCTCTCAATCGTTCTCTTCATCTCTCTTATTCTTTTTTTCTATCTCTCAATCTCTCCGTCCCTCTCAGTCTCTCATATCTTAGTTTTTTTTTTAAGAAAACAAACTTTTTTTTGTTACTTATGCAGCTTCTTGATATTGCTGAGCAAGTCACAGATCTACAATCCTATTCTTTATTTGGTATTTTTTTTTTCAATTTTAGTTTCAATTTCAGTTATAATTTCCTAACATATGAATATTTTTTTAATTTCAATTTCAGTTTTAATTTCCTAACATATGAATATTTTTTTGAGAAAAAATTATTATACAAATGAATTATTTGTTAGGCAATGAATTATTTGTTAGACAATGAATTATTAGTTAGACAATGAATTATTACACAAATGAATTATTTGTTAGTCAATAATTTTGTTAGTCAATAAATTATTACACAAATGAATTGTTACACAAATGAATTATTACACAAATGAATTATTTGTTAGTCAATAAATTATTACACAAATGAATTGTTACACAAATGAATTATTACACAAATGAATTATTTGTTAGTCAACAAATTATTACACAAATGAATTATTTGTTAGTCAACAAATTATTACACAAATGAATTATTTGTTAGTCAATAATTTTGTTAGTCAATGAATTATTAGTTCCATATATGTTGTTATGTAATATTTAATTAGTACTTGTTACTTGTTGTTTATAGCAATGGAAGCAGGAGGTAGTTCTGGTGGTGTACAGTCTGTTCAAGATGATCACACTCCTTTGTGGAAGTATGTCACAAAGTTGGAGAAGATTGGTAAAGGAGGGGGGAATTGACAGTGGATGTGTAGTTATTGCAGTGAAGTATTTACATCCTCCTACTCAAGGGTCAAAGCCCATCTAATACGGATTAGTGGGCAAGGAATTAAAATGTGCAAATGTGTTAAGCCGCATAATTTGAGAGATATGCAAACTGATGCGGATCAAGCAGAAGCAAGGGTGAGGGCTTCTATGCCTAGGACAGTGACGCTGCCAGATGCGGATCAAGCAGAAGCAAGGGTGAGGGCTTCTATGCCTAGGACAGTGACGCTGCCAGGTTCTTCAGCGTCAAGTGCAGTAGCAGGAAGTCAAATCTATGCCTAGGACAGTGACGCTGCCAGGTTCTTCAGCGTCAAGTGCAGTAGCAGGAAGTCAAAGCATGTCTTCTCGTCTAAGTGAGCCAAAAAGGAGGAGGGGAGTCACCACCGTTGAACAGGCCTTCAATACAGGGGCAAAAGATGAATTGGATTCAATGATTGCAAGGATGTTCTATACCGGTGGGCTGTCATTTAATTTAGCAAGAAATCCTTATTTCTCTAAGATGATCACATATGCCGCAAGCAATTCAATTACCGGTTACAAGCCTCCGGGTTATAATTCTTTAAGGACCACTCTTTTGCAACGTGAGAAGGCTCACGTAGAGAGGTTGTTGGAACCCATCAGGAGCACATGGAAGTAGAAGGGGGTCTCTATTTGTAGTGATGGCTGGGCAGATGCACAGAGGAGGCCACTGATAAATTTCATTGCGGTCTCAGACAACGGGCCAATGTTCTTGCACTGTGTGAATGCTGAGGGAGAGCAGAAGAATAAATATTTCATTGCAGAGAAGCTTGAAGCTTGCATTAGAGAGGTGGGGCCTCAAAATGTGATCCAAATCATTACTGATAATGCTTCGGCATGCAAGGCCGCAGGGACAGTTGTGGAGGGCAAATTTTCACATATCTTCTGGACTCCATGTGTTGTTCACACCCTCAATCTTGCCCTTAAGAATATTTGTGCTGCGAAGAATACAGAGGCTAATGCAATTGCTTATGCAGAGTGCAGCTGGATTACAGAGGTATATGATGATGCTTTGATGATTAAGAATTTCATCATGAATCACTCAATGAGGCTGGCTATGTTCAATGAGCATTCGAAGATGAAGCTTCTTTCAATTGCTGATACTCGATTTGCTTCATGGATCATCATGCTAAAGAGGTTCACTGTGATCAAGAGAAGCCTCCAGATATGGTTCTTAGCGACCGTTGGAGCTCGTACAGAGATGATGATGTGGGAAAAACACAGTTTGTTAAGGAGAAAGTGCTTGATAATTTGTGGTGGGATAGGGTGGATTATATTATTGCTTTCACTGCTCCTATATATGATATGATTCGGTTCACCGATACCGACAAGCCCAGCCTTCATTTGGTATATGATATGTGGGATACAATGATTGAGAGGGTGAAGACTGTTATTTATAGACATGAGAGCAAAAGAGAAAATGACCCCTCCTCATTTTATGATGTCATACACAAGATCTTGGAGGATAGATGGAATAAGAGCAACACGCCACTTGAGTGCTTGGCGCACTCTTTGAATCCAAGGTAATAATTTAGATTATGTTATCAATTTATTATTTTTGATGTGATTATTTCTATTAATAATGTCTAATTCAATGTTAAATTTTAATAGATATTATCACGAGACATGGCTCAATGAGAATATCCATCGGCAAGCACCCCATCAGGATGAGGAGATCTCTTCGGAAAGGGCCAAGTGTTTGAGGAGATATTATCCTAATGCCGATGAACGGAGGACGGTTAACTTAGAATTTGCTAGATTCTCGGCTGCTCTTGACACTTTTAGGGATCCAGATTCTCTTACCGATAGAGGATTGATGGATCCAAAATCATGGTGGGCGCTCTATGGATCCTCAACTCCAAATATTCAAGCATTAGCCTTTAAGCTTCTAGGCCAACCCTGCTCATCCTCTTGCTGCGAAAGGAATTGGAGTACATACTCATTCATTCACTCTTTGAAGAGGAACAAGATGACACCGTCAAGGGCAGAAGATCTTGTGTATGTGCATAGCAATCTACGTTTGCTTTCTCGATCATCCCAAGAATATCAAGAAGGAGAATCGAGGCTGTGGGATATTGGTGGAGATGCATTCGACTCATTTCAGGGTGCCGGTATTCTTGATGTCGCCACCTTGTCTCTTGATGAACCCACCATGGAGGCTGTATTGTTTGCTGATGATGAAGGCAATGAAGAAGTCACTGGACTAGCTTCCACTTCATCTTGATGTATTTTTTGTTTACAAACTTGTTATTTTGTGAAACTTGTTATGTTGTGATTTGATGGAATGAGTATGTACTCAAATTCCTTTTTGTTTACAAACTTGTTATTTTGTGATGGAATGTGTATGTACTCAAATTCCTTTTTGTTTACAAACTTGTTATTTTGTGATAGATTCATCATTTAGATTGTTAGTTGAATTTTATAATTTTTTCTATATATAATAATAATTAAAAAAATCCTCGCCGTATCCCCGTATCCTATTTTTTTGGATTTTGCCGTATCCCGTATCAGTATCCGTGTCGTATCCGTGTTCCGTATCCGTATCCGTGCATCATAGGCTGAAACTACTGATCTGTATTCTTCGCAATCTAATAAGATTGCAGAAAGGAAGAATCACACATTGATCGAGATGATGAATTTGATACTAATCACATCTGGTTTACCTACCTACTATTAGGAAAATGTTTTGCTGATGGTAAACTGGATTCTAAACAGAGTACCCTACTCCAAAACTGATAGTATTCCTTATTAGTTATGGTTGGGATATCCAAACCCTTTGTATAGTCTCAAAGTGTGGGGGTGTCTCGTATATGTTCGAATTCCAGATATCAGAAGGCCTAAGCTCGGACCAAAGGCTAACAAATGTGTGTTTCTTAGCTTCGCTAAAGATAGCAATGCTTGCAGGTTCCTGGACCTTAGAACCAACTCCATCATTAAAGCTCCAGATGCAGAATTCTTTGAGGATAAGTTTATCAAAGATAAATGCTTATTGCTCAAAGATATAGCAGAGAATGCTAGTACGTCAAATGCACAAGAAGAGCCAGTTTCGCGAGAAATCGAAAGTGTCAATGATGAAGATATTAGGTCTTTTATTTTGATGATGATTTACAAACACCATTATTGGTGCTAATCGTTTATTAAGCTATATTATAGATCACATATCATTAGCATCTTAAATGGAGGATTGGATGAAATATGAGCTACAATGACGATATCTAAGGAGATGGAGGCAAAGTGATGAAGCAAAACTTTCAAGAGCATCATATGCATGAGAAGCTTCATCAACTCAAGAGCAAATATCAAGACTCAAGCCATGCATTTATATGTGAATGATATTTGCTATTTTATTTTTCTCTAGTACTTAATGTAGGCAAGAAGTTTGTTGATTACATTTGAAGCTCATGGGATAACACACTTACATATTTTCAAAACTCGTATTTTGGTACTTTTGCTAAAATGATGATTTTCACACATACGAGGATCTTTTTGCAAAATTTCTTTTCAAACAAGTTAGTCAAAATGTGTATAAACTATTCCTAAAATTTTGTATTTTTTAGAATTTATTTACTAATTTTAATAGAGCCTTGAAACTCAATTTCAAAATCGATTCAGCCTGATAACCTGTTATCAGTCGACTGATGACGTCAATCGACTGATGTGTTGACTGATGAAAGTGCTTGCAATCATCAAAAAGTTTCTGTTTTGTTTCGGTCGACATCAGCTCATCAGTTGACTGATGAAACCCGTCAGTCGATTGATAAGCAGTCTAATGGTTAGTTTTGTACAGAATCTGTTTCTTGATTTTTGGGAGATTTTTGCTGATTCTTTAGGGTTTTGGCTGTTGTCTTTTCTCCCTATAAATACCCAACAACCCCAACTACTTCAGTACCTAAGTTTTTATTGCAAATCTCTTGTGTTTAAGTTTATTGTTTCAAAGAGCTTCAACTTTCATTTGCTTTCACTATTTCAAAGCCAACATCCTAAGCTTCAATTGCAATCTCCTCTCTTACCATAGGGATACTGTAAAGAGAGTTTTCTTCGATTTACTACTGTTGTGAGCTTGATCTCGTGGAGATCTACTGTGTGGTTGTGAAATCTCGGTGGAGATTGTTGGGTAGAAGAAGTTCCGACTTCTAAACCGGGTGTGTAGTGAATTTCTCCTCGAGAGTGGGGAGCGGGGACGTAGGTCAGCGGACCAAACCTCGTGAACATACCGCGTGTCATCAATTAGCTAACTATCTCTATCCCTACTCTCTTTTATTGTCATTGTATTTCATATTTGTGTGTGGTTTGTTGGAATATCTTTTAATTACATATTATTTGTCTATAAACCCTATTCACCCCCCCCTCTAGGGTCTTTCAGAAGAAGTTACTGAAACACCATCCAAGCGTGTCAGGAGACAGAAAGATTTTGGAGATGACTTCATCACCTATAATGTGGAAGGAGACCCACAAACTTTCTAAGAAGTAATCCAGTCAAAAGACGCACTTCTGTGGAAAGAAGCTATAGAGGATGAGATGGAATCATTGATCCAAAATAATACTTAGGAGCTGGTGAATATACCTGAAGGTGCAAAGCCTATTAGTTACAAGTGGATCTTTAAGAAGAAGCTTTGTCCTGATGGTACTATTAAAAAGTACAAAGCAAGACAGGTGGCGAAAGGATTTTCTCAGAAAGAAGATGTTATGGGGTGTTCCCTGTTCCCCCACAAATATGCTATCTCGAGAGCAGGTTCGGTCGAGTCGACTTCATGCCAAGACGACTCGAAGGGCGGACTCAGTCGAGCAAAAGATTACCCATCGATCAACCGATACTTTTTCCAAAGGCAACTCGGAATATTATTTCTCATCAGTATCATTTAACCTTCCATAACACAGAAGTGACTCCGCATCACTCGCTGATAGGCCGCAACGGCTGCTGATTCCCCATGTCGCCGATAAGCCCCGACGGTTGTTGGGTCCCCATAACACGGAAGTGACTCCACGTCACTCACCGACAAGCCTCGACGGCTGTTGGATCCCAATATCGCGTCACTCGCTGACAGGCAGCAACGACTGCTGATTCCCTATGTCACCGAAGTGACCTCCCATAACTTACCAATTGACACGTATCAGGCAAAGGATGACTCAGCCTCCAGCCCATCCTTCGCCATCATCATGAACCGCACTCCTACAAAGTGTCGATCCTGCCCCTGGCGTCCTCTATAAGTAAAAACGTTATTCACCACTGGAGCAGGTGGGGTTTCTTCATCGCTACTAAAGAAAATTCTCTAGTTACATATTGGAGGAGGATACTATTCCTCTATTCTCGGACCAAGTATACTAGCTGATTTGATCGTCGGAGGTACTACGGGGGAAACAGGCCCCGCACCTCCGTGATTCTTGTGTGTGCAGGTGATCCGCCCACCCCGAGCTCTGAGAATCAGGTATAAAGTCGAAGAAGGAAAGCGGCCTTCCATCCCTCTCAACGTTCCAGCAACTCTGCAATCCCCATCGACTGATTGTTTACGAGCATCAACAGTTTGACGCCCACCGTGAGACTACTTTCCTCTTTTTGAGAAGAAATGTCGAGTTCTGAGCGAGGAGTGAGCCAATCTCCTATAAGGGGACCTCCAAACTATGTGACCTAGGGTCAATTGGAGCAGATGGTAGACAGACTCTCTACATCTATGAGAGAGTAGTTTGCCGCCCTGACCAATTAACTCCTCTGGCGAATCCCGCGGCAGCCGAAAGATTCTCAGAAAACCCCACCGCCACAACTCCTCAACTTCGTTAACCACTGCAAGGGCCTCCGGCTACGACTAAGGATACAAACCAATTTTTGATACTATCGAAGGAAATACTCCGTTATCTGACGAGATAATGGAATTCCTGTTTGAGAGATTTAAGATGCCCCACCTAAAGACGTACTCAGGCGAGGGGATCCTTCAGAGCATGTTCAAAATTATTTTGATATAATGAGCATGCTTCAATTATCCGAAGCAGTTCTATGTCGATGCTTCCCCATCACCTTCAAAGGAAGTACTAAGCTCTGGTGGAACGCTCTCGAGAAGAGATCCATCAACGGTTTTTAAGAACTCAGCTGAAAGTTCATTCATCATTTTCTGGCGGACACAAAGCAGAAGCTCCCTCCTCACGTGCTGATCCAAATGAGACAAAGACCAGACGAAAGCCTCTGAGCTTACTTCAAGAGATTTCAAGCAAAGATGTTGGAAGTCAATGATCCCGGAAGCGCAATCGCTATGTCGGCGCTTGTGGCGGGTCTTCAGGATAATGAACTGGCCGACTCCCTTGCCAAGAAGCCAGTCGCCAACTACGAGCAGCTAATGTCCAAGGTCCATGGATACATGGATATGGAAGACGCCCAGGCTTACAAGGCGTCAGCAAGAAAAATGGACACTTCGGGTTCCACCCATTCGACTCCGCCAGCGATGACCTTCCCTTCGAACTCTCAAGCGACGATGCCGTCCCGGGACTACTAGAAGCCCGAATGGCACAAGGATCCTCCCAGGGTCAACCCCCGTCCTAATCAACCAGGCAAGAGCGATAAGCCAAGAAACCCAGTTCCGAAGGAGCATTTGCCCATCTTCGACATCCCTCTCACTAATGCCTTGAAGTCGGCCCAAAAGGAAGAAAACCTCAAAGACCCCGCGCCCAAGATGGTGTCGGACCCCAGAAGCAGGGATACAAGACAATTTTATCGATATCATCAAGACCATGGACATCTCACTAACGATTGTCGGATCCTCAAGAGGGATCTAGAATATTTGATCGCGAGAGGACACTTGAAGGATCTCGTGCTACCAGCAGAGCGTAGGAATCCCGCTCCAACTCAAAAGGATAGAAGATCCCGCTTTCGGTCCCCCTGACCTCGGCCGCTAGTAAATGAGCAGCCTACGGAGACTGCTTATAAGGGAGTCATCAATGTAATCAGTGGGCGCCCGACCATTGGAGGGTCGTCCAACAACGAGCGGAAGAAATACGTCAGGAGGATATTGCAGGTCGACCACGATCCTAAAAAGACGAGGATAGAAGAGCTTGTGTCCTTCAGCGAGGAGGATCTGCAGGGTGTTGAAACACCCCATGATGATCCTCTTGTCATCACTGCGACCATTAACGGATATCAAGTAAGGCGGATTATGGTCGATACAGGAAGCTCGGTGGACGTCCTATACACTAGCGCTTTTGATCAGATGAGGATCGATAGATACCGCCTACAGCCTTACAGGGCGCCCCTTGTAGGCTTCACTAGCCATTCCCTCCTCCCTGAAGGAGTGATAACTCTACCAATGACACTAGGGGCTCCTCCTAAACAAATCACTAGTCAGAT